TAAAATAATATTTTTAAAAGAAAACTTCAAATGTTATAGATATTGGTATATTTTATTTTTATAAATTTGGTCAAAGTCCAACTTATAACATAACTTAAGCACCTTACATCGGAGATAATAGGTGCTACTCCTATTTTAAACGTATCCTCAGCTCGGCGCTGGCCGACCAGCGGTCCAGCAGTACTATACTATTGCAAATTGTAATGCCGAACTTATCAGGCGAGCTACTAGTTCAAAGCTTCCCGTCTAGAACATACGTTTACGTAGGGCAGCAACTTGCGAAGTCCATCCTCGCGCGTTTTGGCTCTCCTCAAGGGCGTTTCAGTGGGGAGTACGGCTGACCCGATTGTTGAGACGAGTGGCGGTTTCAACTCTCAACTGACGGAAGGGGAGACGCACGCATCGTCATCTGACCGGCCGCTCACCCGATGAGGCGAGCGATTCGATCGGATGGGCGGATCGATTGGGTTGGGTTGCATTGGATTGGATTAGGCGCGGGAATCAGGTGGCGACGGACGGGTGGAAGTTAGGACGGCAGCGCAGCTGCAAGTTGGCCGGTTTCTTTTTGTATTTCTCTGGCGTGGTCGGCTGGTTCAGCTAGCCGGTCAGATGCATGGAGCGGATAGAGTCGATTTCTCTTGTACGAGTAGATCACGGAAGGAATGATGATATTTTTCGTACATAGGCCTAGAGAATTTTTAGGGCGTTTCGTAGTGGATGGGTCAATGTATGGAGCACTGTGTTTTAATAAGACGGGAAAGCTGGAATCCAAGTAGAAACTCCTGGAGACACCGCCGCGCCGGGGGGACAAGCATCGTGATCGGTAGGAAGGCGATGAGCGGGAGAACAACGATACTTGCTTAGGTCGAGTACGTTAGATCTTCCGCGTTCTTTTCGGCAATTCGGCCCACTGAACACGGCTGGTCTTGCGGCCCACAGTAGCGGTTGGCAATGTCAGTTTATTGACTTCCTGAGCTCAAGCTACGCCTCTCTGACCATGGAATCGTTTTTTTTTTTCTTTCTCGAAACAAAAATACAAACATAAAGCTCGTGTACATACTTCCCATTCGAAACTTGAGACAGGTGAAAATTAAGCAAGGGCACGTAAAATAAAAAAAATATTAACGCATGATTAATTAAGTTTTAATTATTATAAATTTAAAAATAGATTTATTTGATATTTTAGAGCAACTTTTTATATAAGGTTTTCACACAAAACATATCGTTTTTCAGATTAGGAAAACATACTAACGAAAATAAAGTACAATCTGCATCTTAAAAAAAAGACCTCACTTTTATAAGGGCCCCTTTGATTTGGAGGAAGATCATATAAATTTTGGATAATTTCAATCCTATAGTAAAATTTCATATGAAAACCTTTGAAACAAAAGATTGAATTATATGTTATCTTTTGAAATTCCTATGGAATGAACAATCCTATAAAGATTTTGGAGGAAATTTAGTAAGAGCTACAACCTCTTGGAAATATCCCTTTGAGTCTATCTTGCTCGTCCGATTCCTATGTATTTCCTGGAGTCCAATCAAATGATCATTTTTGTATTTTTCCTATATTTTGCAATTCTCTGTTTTGCACTTATATTTCTATTAGAATCCTATATTTTTCCTATTGCTCTATTTTTGTGTACCTATGATATAATTATAAAGGGGTCCCGAAGGAACACACGCACGCTACCTCTACGTGCATTTATGAGATATTGTACTAGCACATCTTTTGATTAACAAAATCATTATAAACATCTAGCTATCGAAGGATACATCACCTGTGATAGAAATAAATGAACGTATCGTGTAGGATATGTTTGGTTCGATACGATTTAAAAAATGTAGTTTTGAATTTTATAAAATTTTGATAGTTACCAATCCAAACATACGTTAAGGCTCGATTCTGTTTATCTGATTAGATGATAGACGATATATCATTAGGTTTTGTGATATTTACAAACGAATGAACTAATTATTATAACTATTATAAAGTTGAAGTGTTTTTAAATACTATCAAACTTGTACATAAAAAAGTTCTGCAAAAATCGTACGTTTTACTAGTAATTTTGTAGCTTAACAAGCTTATTCATCATGATAATTTATCCTGTGAAAGGAAAATACCCTACGTTACCTATCCCAACTTCCCAAGTCGTGTAATTCTGTAAATTCTCTCACCTAACACCACACAAAAGTGACGAGGCTTTAAACTTAAAACACTTTCGCATGCTTGAACGTGCCAGCTTCAAAGCAAACAGACCCTGTGTTTTGAAGGGAGAAATTGCAACATATGGTGAAATGAACGACGGACGACGGACTGTGCAATGGCCCATTATCTCACTGGGCCCGGTCGTGTGCTGTTTAACCGCAGATAGAGGATGATGAATCTTGTTAGGAAGAAGATTATTTTACCTCCCTCAAGTAAGAGCTGAGATATAATCGAAACCCTCATCCACAAAACCGGGTCAACTTATCGTCTACTGTAAGACACGGTTTGGACATTGGTTTCGTCATACATAACGGAAAACACAAGAATAATAAAAAATAATGGACCTCGCGTGTTAGTGTTAGTAGGTTAGAAAAATTAAAACAAGTTATGTGACACCCACATGTCAGGAGTACTTTCTCCTAGCTTGACTCATCCACTCAGTCTCTATGCATCCTATCTTGGTGGAGAGGAGAAGTGTAGGAAGAGCTCGCCGGTGGTGCATGTAGAGAAGGCGGCGATACTCAATGGAGAAAGAGGAGATAGAGCTCGTGGCCGAGGTAGTGCTTGGCATTGGAAATAACTAGAGGCTCAACACCTTTCCGAGGACTTCCTCCTGTTGTTCCAAGACTGCCTTTATCTTGGGTATGCTGTAGCCCCTATGCCATCATCGGGCCTAGCCGCGCACTTGTTAGATCGATAGTACGGAAGCTACTCACATCGTGCCCGTCAGTTGCCGCTGCTCGATGGACTAGCACGATTGGGGGCGGCGAAGGGTGGCAAGGCCTAGATCGTGAGACCATCGTTGCTGTGCTTCCCGATAGCTACCGCCTGCGTCTACCATCCCAAAAGATCTCCCGACGACGACGAGTTTATTTTCCACCTCTTCTTTCCTCTATCTCCATCTGCCACCATGGTCGATCTTGTGCCCGTGGCCCACTCATCGAGTACTCGATTTTGCCACTGTTAGCGCCTTGCTCTTTGGCGGCGGCGGCCTGCTCGCTTTCCTCCGTCGTAGATTGACGAGTAACTATGAACTAGGACAATGTGCCATGTAGGAGTGGATAACGAGCCAGCTCGCCTCGGCTCATTAACCTTAACAGGCTAAAAGCCTAGCTCAGCTTGGCTCGAGAGTTGGCTCGTTAAACTCATTAATATATATTTACCAACTTCACAATTTCAATTTTACAAGTTTACCATGTATAAATATAATAATAAACACTACTATCTCCATCACAGTATTAGTGCATCCAGAATATAATGTGATATATCTTAGAACTACGAGTCTTGGATGCACTTAAGTTAGGACGGAGAGACTATCTAATAATGAATTCACTAAATACAAATAGTCTGGATATAATTAAATGACTAAACACTACTTAAGAAGCACTAAGTATACATGAAGATATGACGATCTCTTATATTAAAAATGCGTTTGAACAAAACAAGATAGCTATAAGCGCATGATTAATTAAGTTTTAATTATTACAAACTTGAAAAAAAGATATATTTGATATTTTCAAACAACTTTCATATAGAAAGTTTTCGCATAAAACACGTTGTTTATTAGTTTGAAACCAAGGTAAAATCTTCATTTTTTTTTGAGAAAAGAACATGACCTAAGTCTCTCCATAAAAAATTCTTAAGCATATGTTATTTTCTAGCTTTTTAAAAGAGAATGATATATTTGTAGTCTTCATATATCCAAGACTTAAATGAAGATGTTGTTTTTTGGTTTTGTAATTCTAGGTTAAATTGATAATCAGAACCGAAACAACCATTTTAATATTCATTTTTTTACATGTATACGTATAATTGCCTTTTTTACGTAGTACTTACATATATCTACCTATAATAGATCTTGTTATGACTATACAATGGATTTTGGCTATATATTTATATATTTAGTATAATAAAATTAAATAGACTTATATTCAGATTTATTGTATTAAGATATATTATACTCTATTCGTCCAAAAAAATTAACCTAGGACTGGGACGTGACATAATTTTAGTATAGTTTTTTATTTTTTTAATGGAAGGAGTAGTGTTCATAAGACCATCAGTGACGAGCACCCACCACCAGTCCGATCTGATCATTTGTGAACCGTCTGATATGTGGAGAAACAGTACAACCTGAGGTGGGCTTTAAATAACGCCTCCGCTTCCCAAAACGCCAAAAAGCGCGCCAAACCAAGGGACGCTGCCTTTGCCGCTGCGGGACGGGCCCACGCCGTGTGTGTTTTTGCGGGCGGACTGAGCTTACCGATGCGACCTGTCCCTGTCACTCCCGCCTCGGTAACCGGCGCGCTACCCTCGCTTTCGCTTGCTGCAAGAGCGCATGGCCGTGGACTCCATGGACCCCCTCCTCCTACTACTACTGGGAGAATGGGCCCAAGCTCCTGAACCAGAAAGGGTTTTCTCAAGCATTTAAGCGACTGTTTTCTCAAGCAAAGCATCTACCCAAATGAAAACCAGGAGCCCAGGATAGAATATGTCGCTAATGAGCCTGTCTAAACATGGTAAAGTACACTCCACACGAGTGAAGAAGCATCAAAACGCGTAAACGACCCGGTTCTAAAGTCATTTTTTACCGCGGCTCCTCAGCTCGACCGACATGTGGTGGTCCATGTAAAAGAATCTCCCCAGCCGCAAACATTCTCGCATTCTCCACGACTCCACTAGGCACACTTTTTTTTCTCTCTCTCTTGGTCCGATTACCACTGATACGGACGTGGGCCGCTTTTGTTTGAACACTCTCAACCCAATTTTATAACGCCCACCTCGCGTCCGCCTCGGCACGGTCACGCACGCACTCCACTGCACTGCACTGCCCGCTTTGTTGCTCTGTGCCTGTGGGCTGTGGCGTCTGTGACCGTCAGGCGTCAGCTCGTGTCCTCGCCTGCTCGTCCTCCTTCCTCTCCGCTGGTGCTCTCTCTCTCTTCCCTCCACGACTCCACGGACGGTCAGGGCAAGGGCACGGTCTCGCACCGAGCCACGGGCGCACGCATCGCGAAAGCGCGGCCACCGGCTTGTGTTGGGTAGGAGGACTGGCAGGGGCACCAGGCGGCGGAGCGGAGCTCGGGGGCTCGGACGCCAATGGCGCATGTGGCTTTTGTTGCGCTCCTCTTCTTGCTGCTCGTCGGTGAGTCGTTCAACCACACCGCGTTCCTTCTTCCGTTGCTCTCGCTGTTTGCGTAGTAGTGATACTTTTGTGGGGAGAGTGTTCAGTGAGTGAGTGCTACTGCTAGATGCCTTGCTTGCCGGTGAGTGTAGCAACCTGCAGATGTGGGACAAGAATACGATTCTTCTTGTTTCATGGTCCAGTTGTTACGATGCACATTGAACTTGTTCGTTCTTTTGGGGTGAAATCACTCATTTTATCGATGTGTATTTCAAGATTGTTTCTTTTTTTTTGGGAGATGAAGAAATGGAAGAGAAATGATCACTAAAACTATGAAAAATGCATGATTGCAAATGTGGCTTTTGCAGGGCATTGCCTCGGAGGCAAGGTTGGCATCTGCTACGGCCGCAACGCCGATGACCTGCCGGCGCCGGACAAGGTGGTGCAGCTCATCCAGCAGCAGTCGCTCAAGTACGTGCGCATCTACGACACCAACATCGACGTCATCAAGGCCTTCGCCAACACCGGCGTCGAGCTCATGGTCGGCGTCCCCAACTCCGACCTCCTCCCCTTCGCGCAGTACCAGTCCAACGTCGATACCTGGCTCAAGAACAGCATCCTCCCCTACTACCCGGCCACCATGATCACCTACATCACCGTCGGCGCCGAGGTCACCGAGAGCCCCGTCAACGTGTCCGCCCTCGTCGTGCCTGCCATGCGCAATGTGCATACTGCCCTCAAGAAGGCCGGCCTGCACAAGAAGATCACCATCTCGAGCACGCACTCGCTCGGGATACTGTCCCGGTCGTTTCCGCCGTCCGCGGGGGCGTTCAACAGCAGCTACGCCTACTTCCTGAAGCCGATGCTGGAGTTCCTCGTGGAGAACCAGGCACCGTTCATGGTGGATTTGTACCCCTACTATGCGTACCAGAACTCACCAAGCAATGTCTCGCTGAACTACGCGCTGTTCTCGCCGCAGTCTCAGGATGTGATTGACCCCAACACCGGACTGGTTTACACAAACATGTTCGATGCGCAGATCGATTCCATTTTCTTTGCACTGATGGCTCTGAACTTTAAGACTCTGAAGATCATGGTCACCGAGACAGGGTGGCCAAACAAAGGGGCAGCTAAGGAGACCGGAGCAACACCTGACAATGCTCAGACCTACAACACTAATCTCATTCGTCATGTTGTTAATGACAGCGGCACACCTGCAAAACCTGGGGAAGAAATTGATGTGTACATTTTTTCATTGTTCAATGAGAACAGGAAACCAGGAATTGAGTCTGAGAGGAACTGGGGGCTGTTCTTCCCTGACCAAAGCTCTATATACAGTCTAGATTGGACTGGCAGAGGCAATGTGGACATCATGACTGGAGGAAACATTACAAATGCAAATGGTACTTGGTGTGTTGCTTCTGCTAATGCGTCTGAGACAGATCTACAGAATGGTTTAAATTGGGCATGTGGACCAGGCAATGTTGATTGCTCTGCTATTCAACCGAGTCAGCCCTGCTACCAGCCTGATACATTGGCATCACATGCTTCATATGCCTTCAACAGCTATTATCAGCAAAATGGAGCTAACGATGTAGCTTGTGACTTTGGCGGTACTGGAGTGCGGACAACTAAAGATCCAAGTAAGTTGCCACCATTCGTATGAAATCTATATCGGTTATAGTACCATTTTACAATTCCTATGTACTACCTACTAGTGGATGTTTTGGTGAGGTCTGCATCATAGTGTTGTAGCTCAATGAAAGCATATAACTGGAACTAGCATGTGCTGATTATGACCTGTTTATGATGGTAAGTGGTAACATAGGTCCTTGACCGAAATTGTAGTGATAGCTGATAGATAAGCTGGTAATAGATGCTGCAATACTGGCTAAATTTCTGACTTGAACTAATATTCAAATGTTTATGGTTTTTGGTGACATGGATAATACATATGTAAGTATGTAACTGTAATAACATGCTTGTTGTCAATTTGAGTTGTCCGTTATATTTTTCTGGTTCGCTGTTCTCTTGTGCATTGCTTTGTCTTGCATTATCTCTTGGGAGTTTGCTAAGTGTTGATAAGTATTGTTGATTTGGCATGTATGGTATTCATGCTCTGCTCTATTTCACTAGTTAATAGTATTCTCAATGTTCCAACTCTGTTGATCTTGTGGTGAGAACACTAATAATGTTCGTAGGAAATTCCTAGCCCTTGTGCATGGATCAGCACATGCTTTTGTAAATCATGGATATCAAAATTTGATGATGGATATTGTGTATTAATATGGGTTACCGATGGGTAGGTTGCTGGTCCTTAGACCTTAGTCCTTCAAAATGCTATGTGGAAGTGGAACAACCTTCAAGACCAAACTAAAATTATAAAGATATTGATGGTTACATCCATGCCAATTATTGTTACAATGGAGATTTTGCATACGCTCGATTGTTTAGTACTACTAGAATATAAGATGAAGGTATATTGAAATGTGATGATGAATTGTTTTGCTTGCGTGCAGGTTATGACACTTGTGTTTATATGGCTGCCGGGTATGGAAAAGCTTTCTCATATCTTTGTTCAATTTTTTTGAAGCATTTTTTCACCAACTCCTTTGAGAAATAGTTCTGCTGACTATTGTTTTTTCCTCCCTTGAAGGAGTAAGATGAGCACAACAAATTCATCCAACCTTCCAGTTCAAAGTGGGTTCAGCCCATCGCGATTCGACAAAAACTTCTACCTGTTGTTCTCCATGCTACCCATTATGATTGCTGCATGCATTGTGTGATATGTTCGGAGAGAGATCTTGCAGAAGCCTTTTGCCATGGAGGATGGAACGGTAATCGCCTGATACTGGAAACCAGTACTGGTTTGTTTGTCATAGTTAGCGGAGTGTTGTAGTATGACTATGTAGTAGGAAACTAGGAATTCTCTTGCCTTGCGCGGACAGCATATATGAGTTAGCATTATGAACTAGGAACATTGCAGATGATGTCTCTTGGTAGTTATAATCCTATTATGCTCGCTGGATTTTTCAGTGCCACTAATTCTTTGCTGCTACCTTTTTTTGGGGACATGTTTGCTGCTATTCTTCACATGATCTGATCATCACATATAATAGGGGGGCTAATGGGCGATTGACCGATCGGTTTGCCCCCCCCCCCTCCCCCTATACTCCTCCCTCTTCTCCCCCTTCCTCCTCCCCTTCTTCTCTTTCTACTACAGTACACCACACAATTTTTTTTAAAAAACAAAAGTTAGAAAAATTTATGTATAGAAATACTATATATAAAAAAATTGAATTTAAATTCAAATTTAAATCGGGTATGTAAACTTTTGACTTATAAACTTTGGGTCTATAAATTTTAGTTGTATAAACTTTAGATGTATAGAAATGCTATATATAGAAAATATTTGAATTCAAATTCAAATTTGAATCAGATATAATTTAAATTTAAATTTGAATCGGGTATGTAAACTTTTGACTTATAAACTTTGGATCTAAACTTTAGATGTATAGAAATACTATATATAGAAAATATTTGAATTCAAATTTGAATTAGATATAATTTAAATTCAAATTTGAAGCGGGTATATAAACTTTTGACTTATAAACTTTAGGTGTATAAACTTTAGATGTATAGAAATACTATATATAAAAAAAAATATTTGAATTCAAATTCAAATTTGAATCGGATATATAAACCTTTGACTTATAAACTTTTGGTCTCTAAACTTTAAATGTGTAAACTTGAGGTGTATAAACTTTAGGTGTATAAATTTACTAAAATAGAAAAGTAATGCGGTGACAAAAAAAGAAAACCAGGTGGAGGGTGGGGGGAGGGGATCGATCGCTGTCCTAACCCGAACAGCATTTCCGCATATAATATCGTCTTGCACCTGTGGCTCTGAACTCAATTGCTCTTGGGCTGCACCGAAAACTATTCAGCCCAAGATTTGTTTTCTTCTCATTTTGTTATGTTTAGCCCAGGGGAAAAGGTACACCCAAGGTCCCTCAACCTTGTCATCGAGTTACAAAATCGTCCCCTAACCACAAAACCAGATATCTAGCGTCCCTTGACTAGTTAAAACCGGTCACAATAGATCCTTCGGTGATTTTGACCCCGGTTTTGTCCTACGTGGCAACTGAGACAGCGTGGGACCCACATGGTGCCTAAATGTCAGGCTGAGTCATTTCTCTCCCCCTCCTCTCTAGTCTCTAGTCTCTTCCTCGGTTCCTCCTCTCTCTCTCTATGTGGGTCTGTAGGCCGGTCGGAGGTGCGAGGCGGGAGAGGAGGGCGGTGCCGCGACGGCGGCCGGCGGCGGCCGCGGTGGGGAAGCACGGCGGCAGCCCGGTGGAGAGGAGGAGGAGGCTGGTCTGCCGGCGCCGGAGCTGTGCGGTTTGGTTTGGTTGGTTGGTGAGGGGATTCAGGGATTGGTTTGGTGTTTAGTACTGTACGTGCACGATGGCGACGTGGAGGAGCTTGCCGCGGAGGCCGACGGCGATGGAGATGGCGGCCATGACGGCCGGGCCGGTCAGGAACCTCACCGTCATGGCGAACGTCGCCACCTTGTTCCGGCACGCGATGATCCGCGGTTGCAGCGCCATGAACAGCCCTGAGAGTGAAGAAACGTGTTTGTGTTGGTAAGTTGCAAGAACTGTGTTGTGAGGTAAGGTGAGGAGGAGAATGAACCGAGGCTGAACATGGCCATGCCATGGCCGGCGTCGGAGAGGATGGAGATGGATTTCAGGAGATTGATTTCCCATTGTGATTATCGATGGCCTGCATTGCTCCATCGATTCTACAGTGAGGACGGAGCCGAGCATCGGGGAGGCGGCCGTGGGGAGGGTCGCGCAGGGGACCAAAGTCCTGGCCGAGGGCGGTCACGATAGAATATTCCGGTATGTGTTCAGCGCGCCGCCCGACGAGCAGCTCCGCAGGTCCTACGCATGCTACCTCTCCACCTCCGCTGGCCCACGACTGTTCCTCATCCGCCGGGCTGCCGCCGTGCTTCCCCACTGCGGCGGCCGCGGCCGCCGGCCGCCGTCGCGGCGCCGCCATCCTCCTCTCCTGCCTCGCCCCGTCGACGCCCGCGCCGTCCGCGCACGTCCGTGCCTCCCCGTCGACGCCCGCGCCGTTCTCGCCTCGCTACCGCCTGCCACTTCCCCGAGCCCATCTTTGGCCGTCGCGGAACTCCGCTGGGCTGCCGCCGCCGCCGGCCGCCGTCGCGGCGCCGCCCTCCTCCTCTCCCGCCTTGCCTCGCCGAGTCGCCGACTGGCCTAGAGAGAGAGAGAGAGGAGGAACCGAGGAAGAGAAGAGAGGGAGAGAGATGATTCAGCCTGACAATGTGGGGCCTATATGGTCCCATGCTGACTCAGCCGCCACGTAGGACAAAACCAGGGTCAAAACCACCGAACGACATGTTGTGACCGGTTTTGACTGGTTAAGCGATGCTATGGTTTTGCGGTTAGAGGACGATTTTGTAACTCGATGACAAGTTGAGGGACCTTTGGTGTACTTTTTCCTAGCCCAGGATGTGTGTCGGACAGGCTACGTTTAAGCCCACAGTCCTATATATGGACTGGCCCAAGCCTTGAAATGTTAGACCCACGTGGTCCCTTTTTACAGGGCCGAGACATATAAAGCCCAAAGGAGCTTCTAGTCGGACATTGGCCCTTCGAGATAGAGTTGGAGTTAATGCACGTAATACGAGAGAGACAGTAACACATAATAATAAATTAAGTTTTAATTATGTACAAACTTAGAATATAAATTTTATATTTTAAAGAAATTCTCATATATAATTTTTTCGTACGATACACAATGTTTAGCAGTTTAAAAAAGTGCGAACAAAAACTATGGCAAAATCTACATTTTAATGAAAACTAAGGTACTCTCTCCATCCACAAAAGTTACACATATTACATATTACTTTTTGACATAAAGACCAAGAAAAAATTAAATCACCTTGGATGTTACAAAATCAAGAAGTGAATATAAGCATGCAACCAATAAACATTTAGATGACTCCTTGGGTTCTAATAAAATATTTAATTTCTCTTTTTATTTAAGTTTTGAATGTATAAAGACTACAAATAGGAACAACTTATTTGGAAAAACTCAAATGTGTAATATGTGTAATTTTTGTGGATGGAGGAAGTAAAATTTACTGGTTGCAAGTTTCAACATGGTGTAGTATAATCAAGGTAACCAGTTTAACATACTGGTTGCAACTTGAAAGCCCGAAACACAGGAGAGTACTTATCTATTTCACTGTTACTGTTTGCCAAGTGTATATTATTATGACTTTTTTTTTACTCAAAGTGTGCTGATCATTTTTTGGAGGGGAAGGGATGACACTGCGTTGAAGACTTCTAGTAGTACCAAGTTGTTCCTTGTTTAGTGCCACAAAACGAAGGTTGTTCCTTGTTTAAACTGTGCCACGGCGTGCAAGTGGCTTGGTGATACTTTTTACAGTGATTTTCGGATTGATTAGTACAAATGGTAGTCGAGTTGCAGAGCTTTGTGCACATGCATGGTTTGCAGCAGAAGATCACAGGAAGGCAAGTGGCATCCAAGCTTTGATCCGCTGCCGGTGGTTGCCGCAAGACTGCATTGTACGCCAGCAACCTCGGCGGATCCGGCGCGCATCCTCTGATGCTCTGATCACCAGAACATGTATGGCGGTTGCAGTGGCAGTTAAGGAGGCCTCAGCTCAGCTGCTCCATCATTCATTAGCAAGTTCTCGAACCATCTTCTATAAACAAATAGTATTGCTAAATGAAATGGTCTGGAAGCTTTTTGCTTAGTCTGGACAATAGGTACTCGAGCAAGATTGTTTTTTTTTTTGGAAAAAAAAACAATATTCAGAGGAAAGGATGTCCTTCCGAATATTTTTGTAAGAAGAAAATGCAAATGTATTGAGGTTTGAACACTGAACTTTAAGGTTGAAATTATATATCCCTTAATACTGCACTATCAAGTGCATCTCAAGATTGCAAGTTTGCAACCGTTCCAGCTAAGGGCACCCGTAATGGTTATCTATATGCTCTCTACAAGAGATCCATGTCAGCATATTTTTCTATTTGAAAGAGATTAAATGGAGAGAGAGAGAGCAAAGCTATCTACTAACCTGGAGATAGTTTATAGAGAAAAACGAGACAATGTATTAGATAGCTATAGATACCCATGTAAACATACTATTGAGGTGGTTTACTATTATCTAGTCTATTGCTGAGATGTACATGTTTTACAGAGAACACCTTAGAGCACCCACAATGGTAAAGTAAGGTGCTCTCTATAAAACATGTACATCTCAACAATAGACTAGATTAATAGTAAACCACCTCAATAGTATGTCTATATGGGTATCTATAGCTCTCTAATCCATTGCCTCGTTTTTCTCTATAGACTATCTCTAGGTTAGTAGATAGCTTTGCTCTCTCTCTCCATTTAATCTCTTCCATGTAAGAAAACATGTTGACATGGATCTCTTGTAGATAGCCTATAAATAACCATTGCGGGTGTCCTTACTGGTGCTCTAACAAAGACACATTATATGATAACAGCACTAACAAATATGTTCATGAATGCAACTTAGAACTGGCTGATTAGATCGGTTCCAGAACTACAAAGCGGCAGCCGCATCCACAGCCAATCTGCGACCGGTCAGCCACGACAATCGCCGGATCGGGCTGGAGGGTTGCACGTACGCACGCTCTCTCAAGTCTCACACAACCTTCCACCATTGATCGAGCGAAGCATTTGTTGGGAAACGCAGCCGTCCACCGAGCATCACGATCCGACCGGCCCAGAACGTTTCGGATCACGCAAATCGATCGTACATCCGGCGCCCGATCGCGAACGACCACCACCCATGCATGCATGGCCCTCCGCATGCACCTCGGTCTCGAACCGATGTAACCACCACCACAGGTCCAAGCGCGCGGCGGATGGGGCGCCCCAATCCAGTGGCGCTACCAACCTCGGTCAAACCGGCGGCCAACCGACCGGAGGCGGGCCAGCCATCGCCGGGCACATGCGCTGCGTGTACCGCTGTGCGCGAGGCGTTGCACGCACCTAACGCGCGCACCCACATGCGCCGATGCGCCGTTCGCTCGGTCGAGAGGCGAGCGAACCCGGCCTATCTCGTCCGAGCGAGCGATCGATCTAGCGGAGGGGCCCCGGACCCGGCGGATCGGAGTAGCAGATCGACATGCGTATCTCGCTGCGGATTACGGTGCCTCGGCTGCCGTCGCGCACGAGCTGCAAGCACGCCATTGGATGCTTATATAAAACTTTCCGATCGAGGCGCGCGCATCGTGATGCCGCGCGCCGCTGCGTCGGATTGGTAGTGTCACTCACCACCACGCACCGGTGGCGTGCGTGCGGTGTGTCGGCCGGCATGCAGGGCCGTTAAAACCGTTGCAAGTTGCACGCAGAATACTGTGGGATCAGTGTTTACCCAGGCTCTGATTTTGTTTTAGGATTCCGGAGCTCCCCGATCGGTTTCACCGTGTTCTAGGATTCTGTCCAAGTCGCTGGCACGTTGGTTGGTTTACTGCTGGTGGGTTGACATTGATCTACACCGCCACCCCGCTCCAATATATACATGGATGTGGAGTACTAGACTGGAGTATTTCAGAGACTATTTACCTCTATTCTCTGCCTTAGCCAATCAAATTACTCCTCTTGGCTTGCTCATGCCTTAACAAATGAATGAATAAGAAGAATTGGGAATACTCCTACTAGTAGGATGTGTTTAGTTCACACTAAAATTAAAAGTTTGGTTAAAATTTAAACGATGTGACGGAAAAATTGAAAGTTTATATGTGTAGAAAAGTTTTGATGTAATGAAAAAGTTAGAAGCTTAAAGAAAAATTTTAGAACTAAACTCGACCGTAGCATACTGATCTCTTAACTTACCTACTCCTAGAGGGGTTTTTTTTTTAAGAGGTACTCCTAGAGTATATAGAGAGGATTTGATTGGTCAGAGCAATTCATGCATTTTCATTTAGAGGTTCATGTCAGTCCAAGGGCTGCCAGATAGCACCTGTCCGCATCCAAGGAGGACTGTTTTATGTCCAGACAAAAGACAGAGATCGGATTGGGTTCCAATAGCGATATTCCCATGTGCCGGCCATCTCGCACTGTCACCTCATCACATTGCTCATGACTGTGCATGCGGATATGTTGCTCGCTAGTACAGAGTAGCACAGTCAATTACTATCCCTCCGTCTTAACAAAACTCACTTTTAAGGGCCTGTTTTAGTTTAAAAATTTTTTTTCATAAAAAACATCACATCGAATCTTTAACACATGTATGAAGCATTAAATATAAATAAAAATACTAATTACACAGTTTGCATGTAAATCGCGAGACGAATCTTTAGAGCCTAATTAGTCTATGATTAGCAATAAGTGCTACAGTAGCCCACATGTGCTAATGACGGATTAATTAGGCTCAAAAAATCGTCTCGTGGTTTCCAGACGAATTATAAAATTAGTTTTTTCATTCGTGTCCAAAAACCCCTTCCGACATCCGGTCAAACGTTCGACGTGACACTCAAAAATTTTCATTTCACCAACTAAACAGACCCTAAATTTAAATCAAACTCACTTTTAAATTTAAATCTAGACATAGGCTACGTACATGTCTAAAAAAACTCAACCTAGAAGGAGGTCTGAACCATCCCAGTATAACGAATCTGAATAGAGAGTTATTCAGATTTATTGTATTAAGAGAGGGTCACGTTCTTTTCTAGATTTTTTTTTGGACGGAATAAGCATGAGTGATTTTGTTTTGGAGGGATGGTATACTAGTATCTCCTAGTGTGGCGTATATGCTACCGTATCAAGGGGGCATACAATTAATACTAATAAGTAATCTAAACGATATTTCTCTATACATGCCATGCATGGATATATTCCCCTAGAAATTGAGCACATATAATATATCGGGATCGATTTGAGTGGGTAAAATAAACAATGTGTTGTCTCCATTTTTCGTCTCATACTCCATTACTACCCCCATGTTTCGACATGAACTAATTGACTCGTACGTACTAGTACAAAATGACGAAGCTTGGGAGACTGTTTAAGCACGTACAGTACTACATGCACATTATACGGTGAGGCCCAGTTAAGCATAAATTAACGCCGACCGGCCAATATAGGTGAAACGTTGGCGTCATGGCCCGATCGATGCATGCATCTTCGTACAACGTATGGGGGGCAGCTGGGACAGCAAATGGTGAAACTATCGGCGTACTCGTCGGTCCGCGCGCCCCCTTTTGCCCACACAGCCACACGCCACGCCACACCGATCGGTAGATCGGCGGGTCCGCGCGCGCGAAAACACGAAATGCATGTGGTGTTCCTATGCGTGCCGGATAAAGTCCAAGAATATATTTTAGATAATTTCTGGTATCAATACAATAATAAGAGGGAAGAAAAAGGCTATATGCTATCAATATTAAACAGTCTTGCTGAATATTTCCATCTAATGAATGATATAATGCCAACATCAGAAAATAATGAAGTAATACCACAAAAACCCATATATGTTGTTTTTGACGGAAAGCTTCCTGGAGTGTACATATCTTTTGAAGAGATAGTAGCCCAAAAAATAGATGCAAAATTAATGGGTGGATTGTCATGGAAAAAATATATAGATTTTGATGAAGCTTTAACTCAGGCCAGAAAAATATTAGGAATAAACTACTACTTGGAACCAGCAGCAAAAGAATATATACAAAAATGCAAAAAAGCCAAAAATAAGAAAGCTCCAGAGAACCCATATTGTTCAAATATTAAGAATGAAGGATCATCCCAAAAACCTACGTATAAGGAATGCTTGACTAAGGGAGTAGATCCTTTGGATGGCGAATATATCGATTGGAAAATAATTGAAAAATTTGAAGAAGCATCCCCCAAATTAAAAAAGAATTGAAAGAAGAAATACTTAAAGAATTAAAGAAAGAAATGAATGACAAATTTGAAGAAATGAAAAAAGCATATGATGAAAAATTTGAAGTCTCCTTTTCTGATGTAGATACTATGGATTTAGGTGGTCATGGGCAGCCTGACCAATAAAGCAATATAATATAAATTGATAATAAATATCCATTCTTTGGGCGAATGACCAAAGTATGAATTGAATTTGAATCAATCCAAAATGCAAGGACAGTGAATGACATTTGACTGTTAAAAATACTGTGGAGAATATTGCTTTCGGCGGAAAAGAAAGGCGCAGGTACAGAGGTGTCTCCACCTTGGCCAATTCAAGGACAAAGTAAAGCCAAAAAGAAGATAAGCATCTCCATGGTGCGAGCCAGCTCGTGAAAATACAGTATCTAGAAGATAAGCTTGAAGCATAGTCGAGCCTCCCGAGCTCCTATAAAAGGAGGGGTTTGCTCAGCTGAGAAGAACAACGAAGACACCATTCAGAGCAAAGCTTTCAAGCGCGCTCTCACCCTCCATTCCACCATTCTTAGTAGTAGTGACTTTAGCCTACCTTGCATAGTATATTGAAGCAAGGAGTTGTGTTATAACGCTGTGTAAGGTAAGAACAGCTTGCTTGTACCTACCTTCGGGTTTCCCGAAAGGGAAAACCGTATGTAAGCTTATCTGTTTAATATGAAGTAATTTTCCTTAAGTATTCCTGCACGTTTATTCTAGACAAGTGTTTATGCTAAGGACCCTATAGGAGAAACCTCTTCGGTTTGTTCTCGTTTTTAGCCTGCATCTTGCATAGGCGTCTGGAGAATCGGTATCCGTAGAGAAGTGTTCCCTTCGGGTGGAACTGCCTGGGGAGACGATAAACTCTTAGCTAGAACAAGTGTGACTTGGAATATCTTTTTAAGTTGCTTCTAAAAAGATAGATAGGTGAGGCATACGGTGAGTACCGAGTAGGACTTTACATCATCTGAAACAAGCTTCTGAGGCTGTCTAAATAGGATTCGCCACCCTGCAAAGATCCTAAAGTTAAAATATCTCTCGAAGTGAACAGTATTGAACAGTAATTTAAACAGTAAACTAAATAGTGTTTTTGAACAGTGTTTTTTGTCCGAAGCATATATATATATATATATATATATATATATATATAGAGAGAGAGAGAGAGAGAGAGAGAGAGACTTACTTTTTTTTGTTAATTGACCATTTAGTTGACCGTAAAAAATTTAGTTTTACCCTCGGATTTCGATCGTCCAGCGCGCGGTCGCGGCGGAGGCATGGAGATCGGAGAGGCCACGGCCCAGCGCAACACAGCGGCGAACGCGACGTGGAGCAACGCCTCATGATTATTCGTTATGTGCATACGCATGACACTATTCTGGTTTCTGTAGCAGCCGTCGAGCACGTAAGCAACCAAGCTATCACACATTCGTACCGGTCTACTACAACTCTACAATAGCGAAAGCAATTGGTCCAAACCTTTTTTGTGGTTGACATGCATATGCATGATTCAATATCTATCTATTATATTATCAACACCACGTTCGCTGTGGCGGCTAGAAATTCTCACATTAATCGGAGAAAAAGAGAAAACTTTACACCATTAGATCTTAGTTGTCTAAATTTTAAGGGCTGAGATTTAATAGCATAGAAGTTTTAATATGGTAATCAGATACAGATACGTGTATTATAGAAATTGGCCAGCAGCAGTTAGACTTTTCTTACCAAACTAGCACTAGGAAACAAAAATTGTAATAGGAATCTAGGGAAAAAAGCTATGTCCGTGTATGATTTTGTGTCCGATTGCTATGGTGGCTAGCTACCAAAAAAAAAAAGATACTACAAAGCAATCACAGCACGTACAGTTTCCCATCTGCCGTCTCCAACAAAATAACGAAGAAATAGGAGCCAGAGAAAGAGAAGGTACGACCAGTACACGAGAGAAATAGATGTATTTGATGGCTGGTCCATTTATTCAATTACCTCGGCTAACTCTTTGTACTCTACTCCTGTTATGAGGGATAGAAATTCCCACATTAACCCAAAAAATAATTTTCAAGTAAAAATACAATTTAAAAGTAACTAAAATTCGGAATTAAAAATAAACAATATTGAAAGGAGAGTCTATATATATAAGAATCCAATATGAGATTAATTAAAATTTAAAATATAAATAAAATAAAATCCGAATTTTTTTTTAACAAAAAGAAGATTTCAAGTAGTAAAATAACTAAAATTCGAAATTAAAAAAATAAGCAATGTTGAAAGAAGAGTCCAAATAAAAACCCAACACAAGAGTAATTGAAATTCAAAATAAAAAAATGAGAATACAAAAATAAAAATGAGAGTGGAATACATTATATAAATAACTAAAATTTGCAATAAAAAAGAACTATTGAAAGAAGAGACCGTATATAGAGAGATTAATTAAAATTCGGAATAACAAATAAAATAAATTCTGAAAATAGAAAAATATTTATAAGAGTTCATATAGGAATATAATTTATCTCCAAATAAGAACCCGACATGAGAGTAATTGAAATTCAAAATAAAAAAACACAAAAATACAAAAATAAAAATGAGAATGGAATACATTATACAAATAACTAAAATTCGTAATAAAAAAGAATTATTGAAAGAAGAGACCATATAGAGAGATTAATTAAAATTCGGTATAACAAATAAAATAAATTATGAAAATAGAAAAATAATTATAAGAGTTGAATTAGGAATATAATTTATAAATAAAAAATATCGGAATGAAAAATATGGAATTTTCAAAACAAAAAGGTCCATTTAGAACACTACGATGACAAATACAATAAAGAGGGGAGAAACAATGAGCCCGTAAAGAAATAGAGTGGTGGTGGTTGATGGGACATCTAAAAACTATAAACAAAACCCGAAATAGAATCAAATGACAATTAAGAGGAGGGACGACAGGCATACCATTAAGCAACACGGTTATGACAGTTGGCGAGACTTATAAAAAGTAAAACCCCGATGATAATTATGTTCGATTTTAAATATCTCTATGGGCGGGCCATAGAGGAGTACAGTGGCGAAGCCGTTAATGTTTTGGTGGGACTTCTAGAAAGTAAAAAAGAACACAAACAATAATTATGTTCAATTTTTTAAATCCTAATGATAAAAAAGAGAGGATGCGGTGGATGGGCCGTAGTGGAGTACATTGACGACGTTTGACGGGACTTCTAAAAATTATAAAAACGAAACCCAACGAGACAATCAAATCTGAAAACTATAAGTTCTAATTTTTGAAGTTCTAAAGAGGATGAATAGAAGTAATGATAGATCAAGCAATCAAATAAAGGTGTAGCAGAGGAGCAAGGGTAGCGACTAACGTGACTTTTAAAAACTTTAAATTAGAAACATGGGAATGATAAATTTTAAATAAAATCATATGTAAAAACAATAATTTTATACGGGTACTAGCCGCGCAATTGCGCGGGCTACCCAATTATAAGAGTTAAAGTAGGAATATATTTTATAAATAAAAAAATATCGGAATGAAAAATATACGGGTTCTAAAGAGGATGAATAGAAATAGTGATAGAATCGAGCAATCAAATAAAGGGGTGACAGAGGAGTAAGGGTAGCTATTGACGTGACTTTTAAAAACTTTAAAATTAGAAACGCTAGAATGGTAAATTTTAAATAAAATCATATGTAAAAGGCAAATAATTTTATACAGGTGCTAGCTGTGCAATTGCGCGGGCCACCCATAAGAGTTAAAGTAGGAATATATTTTCTAAATAAAAAAAATATCGGAATGAAAGTTATGGAATTTTCAAACAAAAAATTCATCTAGAAAACAGATGACAAATGATAATAAAGATGGGAGAAGCAACATGCCTGTAAAGGAGTAGAGTGGTAACGGTTGATGGGACATCTCAAAACTATTGATAAAGCCTCAAATAGAATCCCATTGATGATTGAAAGTAGGAACAACGGAAAGGTCGTTAAGCAACACGGTCACGACATTTGGCAGGACATCCAAAAAATAAAAAATAAAGAGGGAAGGCAGCGGCGAGCCGTAGAGGAGCACAGTGGCAAAGCCAATGATGATTGGCGGGACTTCTAGAAAGTAAAAAAAAGAACACAAACGATAATTATGTTCGATTTAAATCTCAATGACAATAAAGAGATGAGACAGCGGACGGGTCGTAAAGGAGTATAGTGGCAGTGTTTGATGAGACTTCCAAAAATAATAGAATTGAAACCCAATGAAGATAATAAACTCTAAAAACTATAAGGTCCAATTTTTAAATGTTCCAAAGAGAATGAATAGAAGCAGTTGTAACGATTGATGAGACATCTAAAAACTATTAACAAAACCCCAAATATAATCCAATGACGATTAAAAGCAAGGACGATGGATAGGCTATTAAGCAACACGGTCATGAAAAAAAATAAAAAATAAACCCCAATGATAATCATGATTGATTTTAAAATCTCAAGGACAATAAAGAGGGCAGGTAGCGGGCGAACCGTAGAGAAGTACAGTGGCAAAGCCAGTGATGGTTTGGTGGGACTTCTAGAAAGTAAAAAATGAATCTAAACGATAATCATGTTTGATTTTTAAAATCCCAGGCAACGGATGGGTCGTAGAGGAGTACAGTGACAACATTTGATGGGACTTCAAAAAAAATATAAAAATGAAACTCAACGATGATAATAAACTATATCTAAATAATGTCTACTACATCCGTCCTAAAATATAGCAACTTTTAGCTATGAATCTAGACATATAGTTGTCTAGATTCAAAGCTAAAAATGCTTATATTTTGGGACGGAGGGAGTAATTTTTAAAGATTCAAAGAGAGAGAATAGAAGTAGTGGTTGATCGAGCAAGCAAATAAGGAAGGAGGTGACGAAGAAGTAAGGAGTAACAACTGGTATGGCTTTAAACTATAAAATTAGAATCACGGGGATAATAAGGTTTGGTCCTTTAAAGTTTTAAAACAACGAGATAGCTATTTAATAAATTTTAAGTAAAATCATTTTAGAAAATATATAATTTTAAATGGGTGCTAGCCGCGCAATCGCGCGGGCCATCCAGCTAGTTCCTTCGTATGGTAGCAGTGCTAGTCTGCTAGACAGGCTCTTAATTTTGCTCAGGATAAGAAAGTAGAAACACGCCTAGATCATTACGCGCCCCCACCTCGCAGGTGTTATCTCGATCCAGTACTGCCGCGATTAATATGGAAATAAAAGCGAACCGACGCCAGCCCATGCTCGGTCGCAGGCCGCGGTGTCTTTCCAACTCGGTCGATCAGCACTCCAGTATCTGGTCGGCACAGCATTTGCGTAGGCAACCACATCTCCACACATACAAGCAGCACGTACAGCGGTACACTATACGTAGTCACGTAGCAATTTTCGTACCGCTAGCTGCAGCTAGCGTTGCTCAGTGCTGTTCCCACGTATATCTAATGACACCCATTCTCCGTTTCTCCTGCTGTCCTGCATATACGAGTCCAAGCTTAATAATTCTGCCACCTTCAGAACAACATTATGTGGACTCACAAAATCTGCGAATCGATATATTAGCATGATTTTTTTTTACAACTGTAACCCGCTGACACAGATCATGGAGCATTACAGGGGAGAGGAATTGAAGAGCACAAGAGATTAACTAGCAAAGATAACCAGAGTCTAAAAAACAAGAAGGAAAAAAAGGAGAGAGTTTGTGACTAAGCGCCAAGAAAAACTCCTAAGGAACTAGGCAACACCGCAACCCGAATCTTCTCTTATGCGGTTAACCATCATCTCTACCGTGAAAAGTGTCCCCTCAAAGCACAAGCATTTCTTTCCAACCATAGGTGTCATGTAATAAGGATGACGAGGAGAGTCAAACCTATTTTTGTTGTGATCCCACAACCACTGGCGAGAAGACTCCCACTAAACCGGAAGCAAAGATTGTTGGCAGGGTGATAGGGAGGCCAATGTAACCTAATCCTGGACAATAACTTGTGCCAAACTTGTCGCGTGAAGACACACTGCACCAAGATATGGTGATCATTTTCAGCTCTTACTCACACTTGATCAACAGCTCAACACCACAGTCGAAGCGCAAGCCAAAGGAAAAGTTTGCCCTTCACAGGACCAGTGTTGCGTCAAAGAAACACGACATAGGGGAAGGAGATTGATCCCTTATAGAATGCGTTTGTTGGTCGAGGCGGCGTTATACTCACTGCCCATCCAGTGCTAGATGAACTCATCTTGGACGAAGTCTTGCAGTGGGCAGTTTTGTATTCTATCCCAAAGCGCAAGGAATTGGGAGAGGACGCGCATAGTCAGGGCACCCGTGATGTTAGAGATCCAAGTTTTGCCAACCAGGCCAGGAACCATCGAAGTGGAGTTCTGGCGACGGGTGGGGACGACAAGGAACATATATGGGGCAATCAATTGAACTGATTGCCCGTTGATCCAGCTGTCCAACTAGAATAGCGAGCATCATCCGTCTCCTATGACGACCACGACAGCCGCTCGGAACATCTCTGACACACACTGCTCTTGCGGTAGTTTGAAACCAACCCAATGCTAGAGCTAGGGTCACCACATCTGCAGGGCCTAGCCCATGGTTTGGAGGGAAGCGGTTCCTCTGACGTGAACTGTCACATGACGTAGTCACTGACAGGTGGGCCTGCGAGCGGTAGGGCCCACATGTTAGCCACCACGTCTCTCTAACTTCACGTCAGATGATCCCAATCCGGTTCGAAGGTCCGTGATTTCTAGACCCTCACATTTCCTTGGGTCGGTACACCTTGGGCCAAGCGACAAGGCAATTCCGGCTGTAGACCAAGTTTGACCACTTCCAAAGGAAAGCTTTCAAGGTCCAATCCGGCAAGCCCGATGGCAAGGGAGAGGTGCACCGAGGTGGAGGAGAGGACGAGTTGCACCAAGGTCATCATGTCCATCATAGTCAAGAGCCTCTCCTTTCAAGTAGACATCCAGTCTTGGACAAAATCCACAAGCGGTTGTAGGATGCTCTTCAGAAGATTCGTGACGGAGAGGGGACTACCTAGGTATTTACATGGGAACTCCACAATCGCGCAAGGCAGGATACGAGAGACTACTACCATATCATCTTCCGAGCACCTGATTGGAGTGGTGGAGCACTCATCGAAGTTGGTAATAAACAGCCTCGAAGCTGGAGTGGTGGAGTGGTGAAGCGTGGCCTAGGTACGCCATTGAACTGGACACACGAGGAAGATAATCGAAGGATAACATTGTGGAGAGGGGCTGGGATCGCCATTGACGTACGCCATTCAGGGCAGTCCCAACCCATAACACTAAACATGGTTTCCATAAACTCCACATCATCAAGAAACTAGTACTAGACATTACTCTTCCAATGCAAACACCACTATTCCATACTTTAATTTAATGCTACTTATCTCACATGATGTCTTGGATATTGTGTAGAAACCATGTCTCATGCAAGACATGGTTTTCTTCTCTTTCCTCATTTATTCACTTGCCACATCATTTTTTGTCCTACGTGGCAACTTATTTAATGATATGAACACCATCCTAATCATTGGGTTGGGAATGCCCTCAGAACAACTAATCTTGCAAGATTTCAATATACGAATCAGTTAAATTCCCGTATAAAACGGCACTAAACAAAACCAAAGCTGGTAATTGGATTGTCTATTTGTCTTCGTCCTGGCGGCCGGTCGATCGATTGATCGTCGCCTCTCGTCGACGGGGACTGCCCATGCGTCTGCGTGCCACACTACATTTATTCGAGCTGTTAACATCCAGCATACTCGCATGTGAGGCACAGCTGGGCACCAGCTGCTACCTGGGCCCCGCTGCGCGACAGGCCACGCCGGCTGCATATATCATACAACGCCCCATCTTATGGATGCAACAGCAACCTAGCTTGATCGAATTAATTCGTAGCGAATGCCATGCATCATCATATTAAACCGATTGTTGTTAGGGCTCATAAAGTCATAATCTCGTCCACCTGTCGTGTCGATCCATGTCGTTACTGGTTACTGGTTACCAACCCGTGATCGATGATTCTGATTCATTCTCCTCGTCTTTTAGTTTCTTTAATTTTGGGTGATTAGTTGTATGGCCTACCCATCATAGGCCATTTGTACATCTTATATCCACAGACAGTGTCAGTGTAATGTTGGCAAACATTGGACAGGGGACTCACACAGCGGTCCTTTTCTCTGAGAGTCTGAATTAGCATCTGGTTGTTTCAGGCTCAAGTCAAAATACAGTAACATGGCTATCTTCGTGCTAGAGATCAAGACTCCATTATAAAAACTTCCTAGGGCAAGTACACAAGATTAAGGGGTTGTTTGGTTGATGTCTAAGCTTGTCATAACTAAGCTTAGGCAAGTTGTGGCATGTGGCAAAAGTATGGCTAAGAAATAGTTAGCCACAAGTGTGGCAATATTAGCTCTAATTATCTGAGTATGATATGTAGTACCTAAGGGTAGGAAAGTGTGGCATGACATAACTGTGGCATTGAAACAAACACACGACTAAAAACTGTGGCATGACTGAAGTGTGACGTGGTAAAGTGAAGCAATCAACCAAACACCTCCTAATTTCAAAAAGAAGAAGAAGAAGAAGATGAATTCAGCCTACTTACTTTGAGTGGGTGTTGATATGAACTGAGCTTATTAAATGATGAAAATGAAACGAGCAGAGAGTTGATCAATCCGTGTCGAGTCAATATCGGCCATGCTGTGATACAGTGGTAGCATCTGCAGCCAGCTACGAGATGATTGCACCGATTGTTTCCTCTGGCCTCGAGCCAAGGATGTAATTACAGTACGTAATTGGTGCTATTCAGGCCAGTTTTTTTAAGCTTAGATTAAGTTGCGCGGCGGGCCAGGGAGCGGCCGTAGAGTATTTGTTTTAGTAATTTAGGGTTTAGCTAGGCATGCACGAGCCAACGTGGAGAAGATATCGTTCATGTGCAAAACGGCAAATCTCTTCCCTTCCTACGTACTACTACTACTAGCGTCGTCCAAAATTTGCCGACCGAATCCAAACTCCCATCTGCGCAGGCGCAGCGACCCAAACCGGGCCGCACGCGGCTACACCACCACTACATATAACACGCGCGAGGGGAGCAGCAGCAGCAACGGCCGCGATAACACCTGCGACAAACCGGGCCGGGGTGATCGAGCGCAGCTAGCGCGCGGCGCCATGGACCCCTGCGCGTTCGTCCGCCTCACCGTGGACCAGCTCCTCCTCAAGCTGCCCTCCGTGCCGCGCCCGAGCTCCGGCGCCGCCGGCGTCCACCCTTCCACCTCCCCATGCTTCTGCACGCTCCACCTCCAGGACCACCCCTCCGCCGGCTCCCACTCCCGCACCGCGCAGCTGCCGCTCGCGTCATCCGAGTCCCCGGGCCCCGTCGCCGCCGGGGAGCCCGTGGTGATAAGCCTCGACGCCGCCGCGGTGCAGAGGCTCTCGGCGCGCCCCGCCGCCGAGCTCGTCGTGTCCGTGCACGCCGGGCAGAAGGGGAACGCCGGCTGCGGCATGAGCGCCGGCCGCGCGCTGGGCAGGGTGCGGGTGCCCGTCGACGTGGCGCGCGCCGCGGCCGGGGAGACCGTCGTCGCGCGCGACGGGTGGGTGGACGTGGGCAAGCCGGCCGCGGCGGCGGCGTCCCACGGCCACGCGCGCGCGCAGATCCACATGGTCGTGCGGGCCGAGCCCGACCCACGGTACGTCTTCCAGTTCGGCGGCGAGCCGGAGTGCGGGCCGGTCGTCTACCAGGTGCCCGGGGGCGCCGCCGGCGGTGGCCAGCGGCAGCCGGTGTTCACCTGCCGGTTCAGCGCTGGGCGGAGGGCAACCAGGACCAGGTTGGTGACTTGGTGTGCGGTACACGTATTACAATGTGCATGCATCATTCCATCTTCTTCGTTTGCTCGCTAAGTTAAGCTTGCGGTGTTAATAATTTGCTTTACAGTGACCCTGTGCTGACAAACGTGTATTTTCTCTTCAACTAAGTGCTTCTCGTACGTTGCTTATATGCTAGTTATATGTACGACGGTAATTGTGAAGTTCACTGCTAGATAAGATAGCTAGAGCTCATACTTGGGGGCGAAAAAAAATTCTTACGTTTTATACAGTATTTAGATAATGAAACACAGTCAGTGTTAGTTTTCATGGTTGATAAAAGTGTTGATGAATTCATTATACAAGTAGAGTTTTGCTTATTTTTCTTGAAGGTGCAAAAAAGAAAAACAAAATCGGTATGTAATCATGTTAGGATTTAAGTTTTCGAATTATAGTATTCAGCATGTACGTATAGCTAGCAGTTGGACAGTATAGTACGTGCCCGGCCTTGGCCTCTGCGGACTGCGGCTCTGCCCATACACGCTTATCAATGCAATTATGCAAATGTCCCCATCAGTCCAGGACATATATGATATATGGACATATGAATTAAAAACAAACAACTCAATTTATTTATCTTGTCATACGGCAATCGATTTGCTAATCAATACCGACTTGTGATTCGGCAATGCTCGATTATTTGAGAAAAAGAAAGTAGCACAGCTCAATGAAGAATATGATGCGATTCTATTTCATCCCAACTATCTTCATAAAGAAGTTGAAAATCATTTCGTCTCCTTTTCAATTTCGCTTTTCTTTCATACGGAATTCCTTTTCATTATTGGATGCCAGCTCTTAGATACCTTGTGGTTTATATCATGCACCGGCACTGGCAGTCATCTGATAAAATATTCCAACTCCCATACGTAACGACATTTTAAATTAATTTGCCATGGAAGGGAAACTTTTTAAGGTTAGAATAAAATGGTTGGAAGACTTGATAATTAAACAGGCAGTACCAATATTCCAAGCCACGTACTACTAAATACAAATCCTATTAAGAAAGTTAAGCACCTCCAATCCTGCATGAATATATTTGTGCCATTGCTATTTGACCAGTCAGGTTGGGTTATGACATATGAGAACCTTCACTGTCAGTGCAGCTCAGATCTCCATACATATACATGCTTTGTTTATGCTAGCTCTACGGAACTTTAGTCACTGGACTTTGAAAGTGAAACATACGCCATGGATGGACAGCATGGTCAGATATAGACGACACCAACCGTTCATGTGACGGTCTTAGCATTCTGTCTAGTTACCTTACTAATTTGCTCTGCAAAATTTAAATCTTTAACCTCATTAGCTGTCTTCAGAATCTTCCTTGTATCATGTCCACCATTGCCATCACCTACTGGCTACTGATCTTGTACCAGTCACACTTGGCACCAACTTGTTATGCGCTACTCAAACTAAGCGGTTCTTTAATTACTAGCTCAAAGATAGTATGTTGCTATCTTAAACCTTTTGGTACTAGCCATGCACGCATGCACTTGCATGTTACTACTACAGAGCTAGTTAAACTAATCCTGCATGTGCTGTTTGTTTTGTCCAGATCGTTGACGTCGGAGTCGTCCATGACTCGGAGCACCAGCAGGAAGCTGCGGTCTTGGCTGAGCACGCTGCACGGCGACCGCGACGCGCAGGCGCGGCGCGAGCAGCGCAAGGGGTGGACGGTGACGATCCACGACCTGTCGGGCTCCCCGGTGGCCATGGCGTCCATGGTGACCCCGTTCGTGCCGTCGCCGGCGGGCTCGGGGCGCGTCTCGCGCGCCAACCCTGGCGCCTGGCTCATCCTGCAGCCCACCGGCGCCGGGCCGGCGAGCTGGAAGCCGTGGGCGCGGCTGGAGGCGTGGCGGGAGCGCGGCCCCGTCGACGCGCTCGGCTACCGGCTCGAGCTGGTGTTCGACTCGGGCCCCACCGAGTGCGCCGTCCCCATCGCCGAGTCGTCCATCAGCACCAAGCGCGGCGGCCAGTTCGTCATCGACCCGGCCACGTTCCCCGTGGGCGCCGCCGGCGCCGCGTGGCCGTTCGCCGGCGGCTTCGTGATGGGCTCCACGGCGGAGGGCGAGGGGAGGGCCAGCCGGCCCACCGTGCAGGTCGGCGTGCAGCACGCCACGTGCATGGGCGACGTGGCGCTGTTCGTCGCGCTCGCCGCCGCCGTCGACCTCTGCATGGACGCCTGCAAGCTCTTCTCGCAGAGGCTCAGGAAGGAGCTGTGCCATGATCAAGAGGACTAGCAGGGAGACGAAACGGAATCAAGTGCATGTACTTGGGGGTTTGGCTTGTGAAGTTGTGATGCATGCGATCACTTTCATGATTGTGATTAAATTAGTTAACTATAGATATTCAATTGTTTCTTGTGAAAGTGATGGCCTGTGGCTGTTTTTAGTTTAGGCTGGGTCGGATCACAAGAAGAGAAACGTATGCTCTATATTCTTTCCTCGCGATATTCTTTTGATTCTTTTTAATTTATATACGTTTCTGTTCCTCTTTTTTCCTTCTGAAAGTCTGGAAATAAACTCGGCTGCCCGATGCAAATCTGCCCTTTGGTGTCTCTGTAGACTGTAGCCTGTAGGTGCCTCTGATGAGTTGATGTACACTACACAAATTGTCTTTTCAGTCAACAGGTTAATTATACTATCTTATTTTTCACCATCCCGCACATACCAATACCCAAAAAAAAAAGAATACCCTCGTTTTATCAAATCCCAATACAATTATTTATCACTTTATCATCTCCCAATATATTAATTCTTCACTTTCACATATTTCGATGCAATGATTTACTCAAAAACTAAACTTATTTGGGATAAATGGGATGTCCTAAAAATAAACTTATTTCCGAACGGAGGGGTAGCTATTTTTGGTGTGGAAACGTTCGGCCAGGACAGTGCCCATTGGCTGATGGGCTTAAACCTGACGTGTAGCCCATTTTCGGTTGGCCACGGGGCTGCTACTGACATGCGGGCCCATGTATTACGACGGAACGGGGCTGTGGCAGACCTACGGCCTGTTAAGGTACACATGGGCCGTTTTGGGCAGGTTGAGGTGTATTTACGACCCAACTCGTACAACTGCCTTCCGATTCTGGTGGGCTTGTGGGACGTAGGGTTGGGTCAGACGCTTTCCATTGTACTCCCTCCACATCAATGGCTAGATTTGTGGTGGCGCAGCGGCGCCGGAGCCATCAGCCATGGGCTCATCATCGTCGTGAAGTATACGTTTCAGTAAGTTTCTTCAGTGCAGCGTTTGGTGATTATTTAAGTAGGAATAGCCTTGTTGTTCCTTTGTGAAAAAAGAGATAGTCTGTTCCTGTTTCTAGAGAAAAAGTGTGTTAGTTTTGCCGTTGCGATATTTTCATTAATTCTATCTCTTTTCTTGTTTGCTGTTAGCCTATTAGTGTTGTACCTGATATGGATGACTATAAACGATATGGTATTAAATTTGCATTGTTCATAACTTCAGTGTGTTCACCAAAAAAGTACATCCTCTTTGTTTTCCGATGCGAGAATTTAGAGGATTTACCATCAAATTCGCCTGCTTTAGGGCCTATTAGGATTGTTACCCTACCAAAATTTTTTGTAGTGCCAAAATAGGGCAAGTTTTGGCACTACCAAATATTTGGTAAGATAAGATTATGTTTGATCATATTTGGTTTGCTACCAACATATAGTCAAAATGTGAAATTGTAGTAAAGTATGTTCTAGATGATGCCAAATCTAGATTAGGTATTACCAATGAATGGGCTTCAATCCAAATCAAACACAACTACTATTCAAATTACCAAAATATTGGTAGGGCATGTTTTTGGTAACAATCCAAATAGGCCCTTAATTTTTTTACCACCTAATCCGCAATGCCCTCAATAATATATTATTAGAACTGTTAATTAGTATATTTGATACCACTTTCTATGTTTTTCATGTATTTCTTATTTCTTAATTCCATTGACGTTCAAGCGTTTTCTCAGAGAACGCAATACAAAATCAAAGCAGTATTGTATATCTATAAGCTATACACATAATAGAACTACAAAAGTAGTACACAAGCATGTGTACAAAAAAATCTACACAAGCATCTGTACAAGTAACATTCCAACTTCGTGCTTGAATCGATCGCCATGAATTGTGTATATCTTCATTCTTTTCCTTGTACTTAAGGAATCAAATTGTAAAGAGGATCAATAGCCAGCATAACATGACTATCCATGCAGGTCAAACGTTCTTTGGCCTGTTGGATTGTTTGATTGCTGAAACAATGTCCAGCCTATTGAGTTCAATGATGTTATGTCAGGCTGCCGGCAAGTACAACAGAAGCCTGTGTTATTGCCCTCGCGACTCTGTGAATCTCGTGCTGTACAAACTTCCACGATTCTGTAGTGTTTTCCTTCCTTGCACTAGCTATAGCATTTTCTACACCAGGATAAGATGCACTTTCCCAGTCATTCTGTTCTGATGGTCCATAGACCTGCGAGAAGCAACAGCTGCCAATTAGCACAAAATACAAACTGCAATCTGAAAACCGTGATATCATGGTGTAATTCAAAACAAGAAACAATGTAAACTGAATCCACACACCAGATGTTTGAACCATTCTCGCTTGAACAGGCCTTCCCTGTTAGTGAATGCCCGTTCTGCCTGCATGAGCCGGTCATTGAGCGACCGTATTTTCATTGAATCCTTTTTCAGCTGGTTGCTCGACAGTTGCCTTTGAAGCTCCTAAGAACAGTCATTCCTCTTAGTCATGATGAAAACCTGACCTAGAAGGCTGTCTGAAATAGTAGAAATTCTTCATGTACATTTACCTTTCTCTCGCCATTTACTTTGGTAGCTGCCGTTTTCAGAGCTCTAATTGCATTGTGCAGTGGAGAGCAACTGATAGCCGTTCCCCTTACTTCATTCTCTACTACCTTCGTATATGCCTGTGATAAAAAAAACATTAAAATCACGTAATAATTCCAGTCACAGAAAAGGGAAATCAACAGAGTTCCTCTCTACAAAATACTACTGGAAGCATAGTGATGATACCTCAAGTTCAACAGGGTAGGACATGTAATTGAAGGGCAGGATCTCTTCGTCAGCAAGCCTCAAAGCCATCATTCCCCAGATGCTAGCAGCTGTAATACGAAAATGCCGCTCATCATGTTGCAGAGAAAGTACTAACAGCCTTCAAAAAATACAGAGCAATACCTGCAGCGTGCCTACTGAACCCTGGATCTCCGAATTTCTCCATCCACACGAAGTCATCGTATAACGAATGATATATGGGATAGCCTGGTCCTGCAAAGGACAAGGCGAAACAAGCAAAATCCATTAAAAAGATAGAAGTGAAAAATCCATTTAAAAGATGGCTCGATAGATTCTGGAACATGAAAACCCTTGCCTTCTCCAAAACCCATGCTGGTTGAAGGAATACCAACATGCTGGACGAAAGCTGAAAAATCTGATCCACCATGGCCTAGCCGTCCAATCTTTTATGTGGGGGCAGGTGATCAGCAATGACGTTAAAATTATTTTTTTTCGAAATGAAAATTTTACAGCTAAATATATCAAGTAACTTGGAAATAGGAATTGCTACTATAACTATTCTGTTTCTAATATAAACCATCTTACAACTCACCAAGGGGGAAATGTTGGATTTGACCCATGAATCATACACGGCTTGAGATGAATTGTCAGGATCTTGAACCTTCATGATTGGAGAAAGTGCATTTATAGTTATTAGAAATCACAACCAAGGATACGTTATAAACATAAAATGTCTCACTAGTGTTTGAAAAAAAAAGTTGAAACACCCATTATTGACTATTTCTACAGTAAAACCAAAAGAAAAGGCAATAAAGCTCTGCCATTTTTTTTCGTCTTTTCCCCCAAAAAATGTCAACGTGACTCGTTTTCAGGAATGATGTGCTCACCAATTTCATTGTTTCCTGAAATAGTTCGTCAAGTTGCGGAGTTGCAGAGGGATGAAATACCGGGCCAACTACTGAAACGTCAACGTTAAGATAAGCAACAGCTCTTGAGGAAAGCATCTCCCTATTTTCTTCAACCCATTCAGTTGATCCTGTCTGCATAAATGTAAGTTGTGAATGATCACCATTCTAGTTGCTCTTACTCTGCATAACTCTGTACATATATAGTGCAGAGAGAGAGAGAGAGAGAGAGAGTCAGAGATATTTACCAGCCCATACTCTTCTGCATCCCAGCTGCAGAAGATTATAGTTCTTCTAGGTCTCCATCCTTGCTTTTGCAGCACCGAAAGCCTTTGAGCTAGCTAAACGACAAGTAAACAACACGCCAAGATGCAGACATGGCCATGTTCTGAGTGATCAGTCGCAGTATTATAAAACGGTGTTTTGGCTCAGCAAAGTTACGATAAAGTACAGCCTACTGAACTTCGGAGAAAGAACTTTGTGCCCCAAAAATTACCTCAATCATAGCTGCCGTTCCGCTATTGGGATCTGATGCTCCAAACGTCCAGGCATCACGATGGTTACCAAGGATAACATATCTGCATCACAAAAGGGTCAAATTTCAGTTAAGTCACATCCTAAGTTCATCTCTGATTTCATTTTGTGTGGTTGTGCCTAGACTTTCTGCAGACTGATACGTCTCTAATCAGTCAGCTACATGATTTTTTTAAAACGAAAAATGTGTAGCTGTATTACTTTCTGATCTCTATATTCTGCAGGATATGGATATGATAGCAACAGGAGACGGTGGACATCTACATCCGAAATATAAAGTGAGCCATGTATAGCTTGCCAAGATAATATTTTTGTTATCTACAAATCTGTTGAAATATTGAAACTACAGAGGGAGAAAAAAAATGTCAAGGGCTCCCACTATCCAAATGTCAAGGGATAGAAATTATACAATAAATATTGGACTAGAAAATCATCTGTTGATAATGGTGGGTGATTGGGTGAATATGTCAGGCCTAGATTGATAATGTAGAATAAAATTGTTGTAATTATACATTCCCGGCAATGATAAGATGAAATTTTGTGGCAAATATAGGCATGTAAAAGTACCACGGTAGTGCAGAGTATTAGGTCAATGGTAGAGCACATGAAATTTTTTTATCGGTAGTTATGAATCTTCATAATTTTAGTGAGGCTAGAGATATATTACAGATCTCTATCAACATATGGTTAGCAATTCCGAAAAAAATATTGTCAACGAATGGTCCAAAAGCAGTGCATGGCAATGCCCAAGTGGGATGCATGTGTTAACAACCAGCACAGGTTGTGATTGAAAATCTGAAGCAGCAGTTAGTTAGAGAAATACCCCATGAAGAAGTGTATACTGGAGGAGTAGAGTAATTTAATCTGATGCAATGTCAAAAAGAGTTACCTGTCCGGCTCCTCTGCACCTTCGATCACCGCGAAGACATTCTCGATGGTGGCCATCGTATCATTCCCCTGCAAACTCCACAAGAAACCATTGGCTCGTTGGTTGCAAGTTGCGACCCATGAGGCCATGACTACTAAAAAAACAACATGCGGATTTCAGTGATCGAGACAGAAAGGCTCGTCGAATGTTGCTTACGGTATACGTCAGGTTCAGGATCGCCGGGCCAGGGCCGAGGCGGTACACTGGGCTGCCCTCCCGGCCCTGCCAGTCCGCCGGCGCAGCGTCGCCGCCCAGAGCGGCGTGGATCTCCGCCGCGTCACGCGCGGACACCGGCAGCGCGGGGATCCCCGGCATGTCGTCGGTGTCCATCGCCTCCTCCACACTCACGCGCTCGCACCCTTCGGACGACGCCCACATCGGCGTCGTCGGGTCGCCCACGCCCCGGAACAGGCTGCCCACCTGCACGCCGGTCGGCGGCAGCCACCGGGAGTCGGGGAACCACGCCTCCCCCGGGGCGCCGCCGTACTGCAGAGGATCGGTGTACACCACCGCGGCCGCGGCACCCGCCACGCGCGCGTTGTGCACGATGTCCTCGCAGTGGATCCTCCCGTACCGCGCGACCGCCACCTTGCCCGCGACGTCGACGCCGCGGGAGGCGAGGTAGGCGAAGTCCTCCTCGCGGCCGTAGTTGGCGTACACGGCCTCGGCGGACACCGAACCGGAGGCGGCGTAGGCGTAGAACGTCGGCATGACCTCCGCCGTGGCCGACGCGTAGGGGTCGTTCGGGTACGTCTCCTGCGACAGGGCGAAGCTCGTGGTGGTGGCGCGGCCGGGGACGGCGAGGGAGAGCGAGCGCTCGACCGGGTAGGAGAGGAGGACGGAGTAGGGCGTGATGTGCGCCGGGATGGAGAGGGACGAGAAGGCGTCGCAGACGTAGGCGGCGGTGAGCGAGTTGGCCCTGGTGCCCGCGACGTGGGGGTGAAGCGTGAGCGCCCGGAGGTGGAGCGCCGCGGTATCGTTGGAGGCGAGGGAGAGGAACAGGCTGCCATAGTTCGGCGCTGGTGCGGAGTGGACGACGAGGAGGAGCAGCGAGAGGGAGGCTCCGAGGGCGGCGAGGGTGGAGGAGACGACGCAGATGAGCCGGCGCGGGGTGGTAGGTTTGTGCGGCGGCGTCAGCGAGGGAGAGAGGAGGAGGGAGGTGGCGTCGAGGCGCGACATGGCGCGCGGCGCGGGGTGGTGCGCGCGGGGATCGCGCGGCGGAAGGAAGAGGAGCAGAGTGCGGGGTGCTCTGTTCTGGCTCGTTTGCTTCCGTGCCGCGGGCGCGCTGTATCTGGCTCGCGCGCTGTTTAATCCGCGGAGACAACTGACAAGCGGACCAGTGGCAAGCTGGATACTGCTGCTGCTACTGCCACACCGGCAGTTTGATCGTGCGGCGGCGATGCGACCACAGCGCACGCCACAACAATGGCAGTGTTTATAGTTTCCGCCTATTCCTAACTTTCCATCACATCATATTATATCAAAATTGTCCTACGCATATAAGCTTTCAACTTTGAGTAAATTACACCCACGGTACAACAATTTAGTAGGTGGGTGTAATTTAGTATAATAACTTGAAAAATAAGCGTTCTAGTACAACAACTTAGCAGGAAAGTACAATTTAGTATAAGGACTTTATAAGTGGTCGTATAAATGCAATAACTTTTAAGGTAGGTAAGATTTTAATACAAGAGTAAAGTTTATCACCGGTCCCTAAACTTGTCGCTGTGTCATTCCGGTCCCTAAACTCGCAAATCGATCATTCAGATCCTCAAACTTGTTCGACTGTGTCATCCCGGTCCCTAAACTTGCTTATCACTCGTTTAGGTCCTCCAACTTGTTCAGTTGTGTCACCCCGGTCCCTAAACTTGGATTTGAATATCATCTGGGTCAAATAGGACCGTCTAAAGACTTTATATTTAAAAATAATTCATAGTTTTTCCATGTGAACTCTAATGAAAACAAACTTTATATCAAACTTGTAGCCCTCGACGCGATCTACAATTTTATAGTTGAATTTTTTTATTTTAAGTCATTTTTTGTCCCAAAATGTAATTTTAAAATTAAAATTTCAAAATCTATAAACATGCAACAACATTTTGGGACCCTAAATAGTTTTAATTCAAAACCTTTTCAACTACAAAGTTGTAGGTCGCGTCGAGGGCTACAATTTTGATATAAAGTTTGTCTTCATTAGAGTTCACATGAAAAAATATGAATTATTTTTTGATATAAAGTTTTTAGACCGTCCTGTTTAGGGACCGGGGTGACACAACTGAACAAGTTGGAGGACCTAAACGAGTGATCTGCAAGTTTAGGGACCGGGATGACACAGTCGAACAAGTTTGAGGACCTGAAAGGTCGATTTGCGAGTTTAGGGACCGGGATGACACAACGGTACAAGTTTAGGGACCGGTGATGGACTTTACTCAAAAGAGTAAAATAAATTATAATTTTGACAACTTAATTTCAAGCATTTTTTATATAAATTCAAATTTTTAAGTACTTATTTTGACAATATACTAGCGTGGATTTGTATAAACATATTTATATTTTTTCCTAATAACTAATAACTGAAAGTCAATTAAACTGAATATAGAAATTATTATATTTCGGTTGATATTTGAGAAGGTGAAGAAAACAAAAAATTCTTAAAGGTAATTGGATATAAATTGTATGTGCAATATAATTCTTAAAGATTAAATTCAATATTATAAGGTAATATTTGTATCAACTAAAAAAAGGTAATATTTGTAGGATTATTGTGTTTTGGCATATTGACATAGTGAAAAAACTCACCTAGCATATGCTTATCCAAATTGATTTACCAAAATACTAAATTATTAAGTTCTTGTACTAGAATGCACCCACTTGTCAAATTGTTACACTTGGACGTTCAATTCTAAAGTTCTTGCACTATATCGCACCCATCTGCCAAGTTGTTATACCGTGGGCGCAATTTACTCTTCAACCTTTTTTTTTTCAAACTTCCAACTTTCTTCAAACTTCACTTTTTTAGGAACTGAACACACCCAGGCCGTATTTAGTTCCCCAAATTCCAACTTTCCATCGCATCAAATCACATCGAAAACTTTCCTACACACATAAACTACCAACTTTTTCTTTAACCTACCAACTTTCTCTCAACTTCTCAACTTTTCCACCATCTAAACACAGCCCCAATTTCTCGGATGAAAATCGTGTGAGGCTGGACGCTGGAGAGGATCTTGCCGGCTTGCCGCTTTGGGGAAGGAGCGATTATTATAGATCAGGTTCTCGCTGATGGTTCGCTGTTTCAGCCACTCCGTCACAACGTGCGCTACAGTTGAGTACCCCAACTTCGCCGCTCGTGTGACGTCGCCGGTGGCCATCTCCAGCTCAGACATGTTTGTTTCCTAATAAGATAAGCTCCCGTGTGTAGTGCATGGTCTCCCGCAAGGCGCTAGGCGCTAGGAGCCTAGGATGATGGTGATGTAGTACTTACTCCTACAAGGGATCAACTACATCACCATCAAGTTTAATAGTTATTGATTGGCGGCAGGCAATGCCAACAGCGTTAGGATGTTGATGAGCGAGTGATTGGGTGGTGTCCCAATGCTACGCTACAATTAGCGGACCAATCTGTTAATGTTCCATTAGGGACACGCAGGGGTACTCCAACTAGAGTCCCTTTCTTCCTGTCAATTCATCCTATTACAAATCCAAAAGTTGAACAAAGTATGGAGGCTTAATTATCTTGGGCACGCACTATTTGTGGATGCCTCGAACTATTTGGCTTCCAGGTTTAAAATTTGCCATCTTTTTTTTTCTATGTCGACACTATGTCCTCATCTTTTATTTGAGTGTCAGATTAAACTTGCTGCTTACTACCCCTCCGTGTTAGAAAAAGTGCAGTTTTACACGGTTCATGTTCAACCATTGATCATCTGTTTTATTTTTAAAAAATATGATTGGTATTTTAATTGTTATTAGATGATAAAACATAAATAGTACTTTACGTGTGACTATTTTTTTTTATGTTTTCCATAAATTTTTCAAACAAAACGGACGGTCAAACGTTAGACACGAAAACTCGTATCTACGCTTAAATTGGGATGAAGGTAGTATTACTTGTTGGATGAACAACTGAAACTCTCGGATGTGACGTCAAAAGAAAATTGGGGGTGGGGGATTGGAATAAAGGCCCTGGTTAGTTCCTTTTCATCCTGTCACATAGAATGTGTCGGAGAATGAACTCCTCCACCAGGGAACTGTGAGGCCCCCCTTTGTGAGTTCGGCCGGGGGCAGCGGGTGAGATTCGAGGATTTGGTGAGCGAAGCTGTGTGATCTTGAGGGGGTTAGCCCCCCCCTCAAGACGATGAGACAAAAGAGGTTTATACAGGTTCGGGCCACTGAGAAGCGTAATACTCTACTCCTGTGCATGGTTGATTGAATGTAAAACAAGTGCTTGGGGTTGCGAGACCCAAGCCCCAGTTCACCCCGAAGTCCCCCTCTCCACCACTAGGCCTGGACCTCCTTTTATACCTCAAGGGGTTACCACATGGGCCCAACAACCTAACCTAGCTCCGGTGGAGAAGTATTATAATCTTTGTATTAAATGCATGTCTTGTCTCTTGACTTGGGAAGCCAAGCACACGTCATCTTGATGATGGGGCCTGTCAAATCTTGCCGCCTGACACGGGGGTGCCCCTGTCAATCACCATTTAATGGGTGAAGACTTCTGGGCTCCTATTACACCGAGAAACGGGAGCCTTACTTTGACCAGAGCGGGAGGACCGACTCCGGCTGGGATAAGACAATGAGAAACTCTCACCATCATTATTTGATGGGACATGTTAGGCTGCACGCCGCCTGCAGCGCACAGGCGCACTAGCCAGTCCCATCGGTCATTCGACCAGTCACAGACCGGTTGAGTGCACTGCACGCTGCGCGACCGCTCGGGACGCCATAAATGTGGGTAGGTGGACACCTGGAGGCGGACACCTAACCCACCGTACGTGGTGACCTAGAGAGGGGGTCGGGGGAGCCCGACCCCTAGTCACGGGAGGGGGCGGCCGCCGCCCGACCTCGGGGGGGGGGAGCCACGTGGCGCCTGGGGCAGCCTTCTCTCTCTAGTCTCGGCCAGGGAGTGGCCGCCGCCCTACCTCGGGCCCGACCCCCCTCGGGGGAGGGCCATGTGGAATCGGGAGGTAGCCTCCTCCATCCAGTCTCTGGGAAGGAGTGGCCGCCGTCCTACCTCGGGCCTAACTCCCCTCGGGGGAGGGCCACGTGGCATCGGGGGGGGGGGGGGCAGCCTCCTCCGACTATTCTTTGGGGAAGGAGTGGCCGCCACCCCACCTCGGGCCTGACTCCCCTCGGGGGAGGGCCACGTGGCATCGGGGGCAGCCTCCTCCCTCTAAACCCGATACTCCCGGGCCCATATCACCGACAGAATGTTTAGACACATGCATGGAGTATTAAATATAGATAAAAAAACTAATTACATAGATTGCGTGTAAATTGCGAGATGAATCTTTTAAGTCTAATTGCACCATAATTTGACAATATGGTGCTACAATAAACATTTGCTAATGATGAATTAATTAGGCTTAGTAAATTCGTCTCGCAGTGTACAGGCGGAATCTATAATTTGTTTTGTTATTAGACTATGTTTAATACTTTAATTTTGTGTCCATATATCTGACGTGACACGCCAAAACTTTTCATAAAACACAAGTTTTCAGCGTCATAAAACACACACTAAAGTTTTCAGTGCTTGAATTTACTATTCCGACCCAGATCGATAGGTGTGACCAACGAACCAACTGCTGCGACCGACGCTACCTACAGCAGATCTATCGGCCAAGCAGATTCACGAGGAATCAATCAATAAAAACTGCTTGATCCGTGTCCTTGTGTGGCCATGGAGGTGACGCAGGATATACTCGTCTGGCACCATTCCAATAAGCTGCAAGATTCCAAGCCTTATCGAGATAATTAAAAAAAAGAGATACTATCGTACTGGTCAATTTGTTGTGGTACACTACGACAGCGAAATGGAGACGGTCACTCAACTCTTAAACAATTATGCTTCCGGTTTTATTCAACAGAATTTGGGTTAACCCATCTGAAAAAAAAACTCTCAAACAAATTATTCGTAGTACCCTAGAGAATCACGCAGGGTAATCCACAAGAGAGTTTCTTGTGTGCTTGGAATTAATTAGAACCCTTGATCACCTATAATCCAACGCACTAAGATAAAAGGTACAGGAGCAAAGTAGTAAAAGGATGGGCCAGGTATGAGAGGTGGAAGGTTAAAATGGTAATTAACTTCTATAGTTGATTTGTGTGGTTAAAGATAAATGCGTTATCTTTTCAATATTCATCTCTTTACGATCCGCTCAAAACTCCCGATCCGTTCCAAATGCCGTGCACGTCCTGATGCCACCGCTGGCTGCTCCTCCCGCCGGTTCCTCGCCGGGACGCCGGCTACATAAGTTGATGTTCGGACTTCTCGGATAGGTTGGCCTTCAGAGTGTGCCGTCCATGACCTCGAGGTAAAAGCGGCTGCCGCTGATGTCGAGTGAACCTGCCGGCTTTGCATAAACGTGCTTGATCTGCTTAATTAAATGATCAGCGATTAACCACAGAATATCTTGTTCGATCAGGATAGCAATTAGATGCATCAATTTCGCAAGAAATCAATGACCAAACTTTTCAATTCCATTCAACAGCTTTCGAGCCAATCAATGCTTAACAAAAATGAAATAATGCTTCAGCATTTAGGAACCATCAGCAGCAGCCAGCATCCAGCCGTCGGTCGCAACCATCGTACATGCCCGCCGGTCGTCGCTGCCGAACGCAACCGTACGTGCCTGCCGATCGCAGCCACCTTGCGTGCTGCCCCTGCTCCTGGTCCGTTCTTTCACTTGGGATTTAAAGTTAGGGTTAGACATAGAGAGATTGAGGTCACGCTAATATCGTGAAAAAAAACAATCTCATTGAAACGACAACGTCAGCCAGCGGATGGGGATTGGACAATTACTAAGCTACCCTTGTTAATATTATTTCATAATCCTAAATTACCCTTTAGGAATCAATGGTGGATATTAATTAGTTTAGGAGGTCCCTGGGATACCTCTCAAGCACCGTAAAAGATCTCCACAATTCATTAACATCAATAATTATGATACTAACTGAGGATAGTTCTTCAGTATCTTCACAGGTACTTGTGTAACTATATCATATCATCGTAACTACGTGTAGAGCTGGTATCTGGTACTTTAAACTGCACAAAACTACGTGTAGAGCTGGTATCTGGTACTTTAAACTGCACAAAATGGAATCGTGTAGTGATCTTAATTTATGTACTCTCATGTTAGTCTACCATCAAGGACAGCTGAAGCCTTGGACACAGCCCTTGCAGCCCTGTAAATTTCATGCTGCAGGAGCTGCCAAGATTCGGTTGTGTTGAGCTTATTTGCCTTGTCGATGGCCGACACGATACCAGGGAATGCCTTGGTGCCCCAGTCGTCTTGGTCAGACGATGCGTATATCTGTCAAAAGAAAAAAAATGATTGGACATAGGTTATCACTTTGTCAGCATCAAATTTGGATCAGAACGGCATACCAAACTGCAGAACTGATGATACTCACCATATGTTTGTACCACGGCCTACCGTCGAGCCCTTCCCGGTTGATGAAGCCTCGCTCCGCCATCATTAACCGGTCGTTGATATCTCTGACTTTTACTGTGTACGCTCTCGTTTTTAGGCTCCAGTTTTCTGCTTGTAGCATCTGCAAGGCAGAAATGAGATGTTTTCATTGGAATGTTGGAGCAATTTTGCGCGCCATACACTTCTGTTTCACTGAAAACGGAAGGCGTTACCATCTTTTCTTTGTGAATTTTGTTGGCTGCTTTTCTAAGCTGGTCAATTGACTTGTGTAAAGGAGCGAAACTGACAGGACATCCTGTACACCCACCTTCCACAAGTTTTGTGCATTTCTGCGATAAAAAATGTGGCAGGTAATTCATATGTTAAGCATTTGCTGCAGATTGTTCCACCAACTCTGGTAATTTCATAACCTAACATTTACCCATCAGCGAAAAGTGTATCACAATTATGTTCTGTTTTTATTTATAAAATGAATCGAGGCTTTGTCTTGTGTCCTAAATTGGTCATCTCAATTGAAGAAAAGAAGGAAAGTTACCTCCAGTTCTGATGCGTAAGAGACATAATTGAGGGGTAAGATCTCATCATCTGCAAGCCTCAAAGCAATCAGACCCCATACACTTGCCACTGCATGATTATGCAAGCAAAACAAATGAATCTGTCAGTGTTTGCAATGAGATGAAAAACCTTTGAACAACAACTAGTTCAGTACATGCAACATGTCTGTGAAACAACGGATCTCCGAATCTCTCCATCCAAACATAATCATCGTACAGTGAGTGGTAAACAGGGTAATCTTCCACTGCAAGAGCAATAATATTAGTAGATGCTAAAGGAGTGACAGCAGCAGAGACTGCAAACAATGGTGAAGTAATAAAAAAAATTAGGAGTTATCAAGATCAACATCTCCAATATATAATCATTACTTGTTCCGTAAGACATGTCAAGTGAAGGTACTCCAATATATTGTAGAAAAGCTGCAAAATCTGTTCCTGCTCCAGCCACTCTATCAATCTGAAAAGAAAACTTTATCACTTTCAGCACAAAGATAATTTTATTCCAGATCTAAGATTGCACATAACAGGATTATAAAGCCATTTCACCACTGTACAATGTACGCACCGGAGGATGGTGGCGAATCATAGTGTCATACAATGTCTGCGATGGATCATCAGGATCTTGCACCTTCAAAAGAGAGGGTGGAAAATGAAATGATTTTTGTGCCTTTGTAAGACTGCTATATACTTTGATATTGGCCCTGTTCAAAGAAAATTTCCCTCCCTCCCTCTCTTTTCAAAATGACGGTCTTAGTTATACTTCTTAATCAAAAACAAAATCTGGCTGTCCAATTTGTAAAAAAGGAAAGACGGAGTAAAGCTTAAATACCATTTTACTTGCTTCTTTGATCAACTGATCAAGTTGAGGGGTTGCCCGGGGCCTAAAACCTCCAGGGCCAAACACTGTTATATCCACATTCAAATAAGCAATAGCTCTTGAAGCCAGCATATCCATGTTGTCCTCGACCCATTCAGTAGACCCTATCTGAGACATTGAGTGTGCCGCATCAATACACAACCTTCTGATAAAGAAGCAATTCAGAACAAGTGATCAAGGACATACCAGAGCAAACTCTTCTGCATCCCAACTACACACAATGATTGTTCGTCTAGGCCTCCATCCCTTCTTCTCAAGCTTGGACAGCCTTTCTGCGATCTATATATATACGTGTGATGCTAACATTATATCATCAACTCTTGGCATTCAGAAATTATAGATGCCTTTTATCATCAACAAAAAGAATATGCACTTAAATTTGTTGTTTGGAAAATGAGACAAAGGCTAACTAGAAAGGGAAAGGATGAAATATTCATGTCTCCAAATGTCTGATGAAAGATGACATATCTGTATAATTTGCTCCTCTAAACTGAATTGATTACCTCGAGCATAGCTGCTGTTCCACTGTTGGGATCAACTGCTCCGAATGTCCAGGCATCACGATGGTTCCCTATGATCACATATCTGTTCACAAACGGGCAAATTTATCCTTATTAGCTTTGCCTTGGCTTTACAAAATTTCTAGAAATCTAATCATCTCCTGTGGGATGAAAAATGAGGACTTTGATCTAAACTCAGAACAATATGCAGGGCAGGGCACTAAGTCAAAGCCTGATAAACAGTGATACCACGTGTCCACGTGCAACTGAATTCTATACGTATGCAGAAAAAGACAATCAGGAATGCCATTCACTTGTTCGAGCGAGAGATTACCTATCAGGCTCTTCTTTTCCCTCGATCACGGCAAAGACATTTTCGATGGTTGCTAAGGTGTCATTTCCCTGCAGTTCACCACAGAAACAACGATGAGTCGATGAGTTTTCTTGGATAATGACTCAACTAGAACACTAAGATCCACTCACAATGTACGTGAGATTCAGCACAGCAGGACCGGGTCCGAGGCGGTACATGGGCGCGCCCTCGCCGCCCTGCCACTCCGTCGGCGCCGCGTCGCCGCCCATCGCCTTGAGGATCGTCTCCCCGTCCCTCGCCGACACCGGCAGCGCTGGGATGCTGGGCATCGCGGCGCTCCCGTCGAGCTCCCCCTGGCTCAGCCGCTCGCAGTCCTCCCCGGCTGCGCAGGACGGCCACAGCGGCGTGGTCGGGTCGCCGTTCCCGTAGTACAGGGTCCCCACCTGCACGCCGGTCGGCGGCAGCCAGCGCGCGTCGGGGAACCACTTCCGCTTCCCCTTCGCTCCTGCGCCGCCAAAGTCCTTGGCGTCGGTGTAGACGATCGCGGCGGCGGCGCCCGCGGCACGGGCGTTCCGCACCATGTCCTCGCAGTGCAGGTTTCCGTAGCGCACGAGCGCGACCTTCCCGGCGACGTCCACGCCGCGGGAGGCGAGGTACTCGTAGTCCTTGGTGTTGCCGTAGTTGGCGTACACGACCTCGGCGGCGACGGAGCCGGAGGCGGAGTAGGCGAAGTACGTGGGGATGACCTCCGCCGCCGCCTCGGAGTAGGGGTCCCCGGGGTAGGTCTCCTGGACCAGAGCGAAATTGAAGGCGGCCGCGCGGCCAGGCACGGAGAGGGAGAGGGAGCGGTGGATGGGGTAGGAGAGCAGCACGGAGTAGGGCGTGACGCGGGTGGGGAATGAGAAGGAGGAGAGCGCGGCGCGGACGTACTCGGCGGCGACGGCGTTGGCCTCCGTCCCGGCGACGTGGGGCCGGAGGGTGAGCGCGCGGAGGTGCGCGGCGGCGGTGTCGTTGTTGCCGAGTGAGAGGAAGAGCGCGTGGTAGCGCGACGCGGGGGCCGGCGCGAGGTGGTGGTAGGAGGCGACCAGGGCCACGGAGATGGCCAGGAAGGCGACGAACCTGCGCCTCCTCGTGGCCGCATCACCGCGCCCGCCGTCGCCGCCTCCCATGGGCGCAGCATCGGGGAGGATCAGCGGCTGCCGCTGCTGTGGCTTGCCGTGGCGAGACATGGGTGATGGGCGCAGTGGCTTGGGTGGAGTTTGGAGAGGCGTCGTAGTTTGCGGTTGCAAGCAACGTCACTTTGTCAGCGCCAAGAGCCCAAGAGGTTGTATCGTCTCGATTTAATTGGGTCGTTCGCATCGCACCGCAGCGCGCGGTGCTCGCACACGTTGCAACTTGCAAGTTGCCGCGCAATGCTTCGTTCGGCTTCAATAATTAAACGCTTATAATAAGTGTGGAAAAATATCAAGGCTGATTATGAGCGTCAGCCATCAGCTCACTTTTGTTGATGCCCACGAGTTTTTCCTCTAAAAAATATTAGCTCGTGAGCAACGTTCCAACTCCGCGAGCGAAAAGTAGTACTTGTCTCTCTAATAAACGAAGTTACGGATTGTCTCTCTAATAAACGAAGTTACGGATTATGACACGTTGAAATGCAAACCATGTTTTTAATATACTCCCTCTGTTTTTTAATAGATGGCGCCGTTGACTTTTGAATATATGTTTGACCATTTGTTTTATTAAAAAAATTTATGTAAACGTATAGATATAAATTATGCTTAAAGTACTTTGAGTGATAAAACAACTCATAATAAAATAAATTATAATTAAGTAAATTTTTTGAATAAGACGAATGGTCAAACGTGTGATAAAAAGTCAACGGCGCCATCTATAAAAAAAATAGAGAAAAATAGAGGTAGTAGTATCTTAAAGCATAATCTGTAGTGCTGTAGTGCGGGTTAGTTTCTAGAACGTTTGGTGGTTGGTCTTGCGCTCTTGTTAGGAAGAGGCTTCTGGACGTGGCTTCTCTGATATAGAGCACTACTCGTACTTTGGATAATACAAAATTTTGATACAGTAATTAAATTGAAAATGTGTATTTTGTTCAGACTTCAGAGGATTTGAAATTGTGTTTGGTTCGTCGCATGAACCAAACATAAGATGCGCTTTGCTGAGTTTTTTCTGCACCCAAAGGCATCATGGAGCACATCGTTGTCGAAAGGGTGAACCAATTCGGATACTGGGAATCGACAACAAGATTCATTCAGGTCCTTGTCAAAGATTGGTCGTAGGTGGAACCGGACAACGGCACGGAACCACCACGAATTAGCAGATGCCCCACATCAATAATGCGCCACGGCCCAGTTCAGAGCGTAGCAATTCATGAGGATTTTTTTGGCAGGAAATTCGTACCCTTTGCTTTTCGGAGTTGAAACGAGAAAACGCAACATCATCACCAATTACACCGCATCACCTGCTCCTTTGGAAAATACTCACCGGCCGGAATGGCACCGCGACGACAACGGCGTCGACTTCAATCGACGTGATTTGGGCAATCAGTGCACCCAGAAATCAACGAGACAGCCAAAGCTTTGGACTTTCGGGTCCGGTTGATATCTTCCAACGGTCCAAGGCCTATCCAAAATTCCAAATATCCCAACTCGAATAAAACGAGGAGAACATGCATGCATCAAAATGTTGCTGGGCTCAAAGGCCTTAAAATGTTTTCGTTGCATGGCCTACCTTGGGCTAAATCAGATTTACGGCTTGTTTGGTTTCTAGCCCAAATCAAAGGAATAAGTTCACTTTGGGTCCCTCTATTTGTCGTCCAGTCCGATTTTCGTCCCTTGGTTGCAAAACCGGGTACGACAGGTCCCCCAACTTACAAAACCGTTTAGATTAGGTCCCTCGGCAGTATTGTGTCTGATTTTTGCTGAGGTGGCGCCTACGTGGCTCCTTTTAATTAGTTTTTGTCTAACGTGTCATTGATGTGGCGTTTACGTGGCTACTAGATTAAGGGTGTGTTTGGTTCATAGTAAGACTGGATAGGATATGGCCATCCATATTTTGAGGGATATGGTGGTCCAGTTTTTTGTTTGGTTGGGTGGATGAGAATGGATTGAATGAAAACAACAACATATTAATTAATAATGAAATATGTTAATTATCATTAATATAGCCATAATTTATACTAATTAACAATAAAATAGAGTAATTATATCTAATTTTGACAAGCTAATTACTGATTAACAATAATATAATTTAATTATTGCTAATCAAGAACTAATGATCAAAATTAGCAAAGGTGAATATCCTCATCCGGCCAATTTGGTCGCATACACTCATCCAGCATCTTCGTGGAATATTCCCTCTCCAGGCCGTCCTATCCACCTTCGCCCACCAATCAAACACACTCAAAAACTGGATCGCCATCTCCCATCTAGGGATATCCCTCCAACCAAACACACCCTAAAAAAAACCCGTGGGACCCACATGTCAGTCACAGACACAAATAATAAAAAATGGTGGGCCCATGAAGACCCACACATCATTCTCTCTTTTCTCTATCCCTCTCTATCCTCTCCCTCCTTCTTATCTCGCTCTCCAAGCCGGTGGAGCGGCATGGGCGGCGGCCGAAGCGGGCGACGGCGAGGTGGAGCGGCAGCCGGAGCGGGCAACGGCGGGGCGGATCCGAGGGGCGAAGTGGGTCGGGCGGCGGCTGATCCTCGCTGACACCTCGGTCAGCATGGCAGGAGAGTGGAGGCGGCCGTTCCGCGATCCGCCGGAACCAGCCTGGCGGCGGTGACGGCGCCACCACGAAGCCGAGAGCGGAGGGCGATGCCAAGGGGGAGGACGATGCCGGAGGGAACGACGATGAGGAGGACATCGCCGGCGCCGCGCGGTCCCCCTGACCCGCGCTGGCCCCCGCCGCACGGAGGATGGGGGCGTCGGCGGCGGCGGTGATGGAGGACGGAGGCAACTGGATCGAGTGGGCGGAGGAGGACAAGGAGAAGGTGTGGGCGCGGGAGTCGGCGCCCGTCACAGAGATGCGCCCCACCGGCGACGAGCGAAGCCGGCAGGCGAGAGGAGAAGGAGGTGGGACGGTGACGGTTGCAAGGTCGACGGTTTGGTCGCCGTTGACGAAGACGACGGGCAGCATGGCCTTGGGCCGCGGTGGCAGTGGGGGGGAGGCACGTGGACGCGCCCGTGCAAACCTTCGCCTCCGAGGACGCAAGGACGCAAGCGGCCGTGACTAGCAGCGCCGACGCGGGAGCAGGGCGGCGGCGGCGCTCGGGTCTACACGGCGCTAGCTCTAGCGGCGGCGGCATCGAGGAGGGTGTCGGCGGCGCGCGGGGCCCCAGGGCGCAAGCGGAGGATGCCGTCGCCCCCGTCTCTGTCTTCTCCGCTGGCACCCCCAACTCGCCACCGGGGCAGCCTCGCCCCCTCGAACTCGTCGGCAGTGTCCGCATCTGACCCTACCCCGTCCTGGTGGGAGACGGCGAGGTCCCACATCCTCGCGCTCTCCAACATCCTCCCGCCGCCGGCCGATTCCGACGTCGCGGCGCTCGCCGACTCCGACTGCCCGGCGCACGCGCTTCTTCGGTCACCCGCGCGCCTACGCCGCGCTGTCCACGGCGCTCCGGTCGGGGGGTAGCACCGACCACGCTCGCCGCAGCCGCCGGAGCTCGCCTGCTCCGCCGCCCACACACACCGTCCGCTGCCCAGAAGGAGAGAGAGAGGGGAAAGGGAAGAGAAGAGAGAATGGAGAGGGAAGGAAAGAGAAGTGAGGCTGACATGTGGGGCCCACATGGGCCCCACCATTTTAAAATTATTTTTTGTGTGCAGCTGACATGTGGGGCCACGTTTTTTATTATTTTGCTGGGATATAATTGCCACGTAAGCGCCACGTCAATGCCACGTGGGGTGAAGACCTAGTCAAAAAAGCCACATAGGCGCCACATCAGCCAAAACCGCCGAAGGACCTCGTTTGCCCGGTTTTCGTAAGTTGAGGGATGTGTCGTACCCGGTTTTGCAGTCAAGGGACGAAAATCGGACTGGACGACTGTGGGGACACCCAATTTAGGCTTGATGCCCCAAAAATCCACTCGTGATCGTCCAGGATTTCAATCACGCACAGATTGATGTACAGAACAGCTTTCGATTATTTACACAGGTTTATTCATACAAGCTAATTATACTACTGTTAAAAGGTGAAAAGATCCAAACTAAAGAAAGGATATTTAAAGATATTTAAAGAAAGGATATTTAAAGGAAATAAAGAAAAGGTAATTAAATAAAGAAAGAAAGGATATATAAAGATATTTAAAGATAATTTAATTTAAAAATGGTTTTAAATAAAATAAGAAATTTTAAAATTAAAGGGATTTAAGATAAATCAAATAGGTTTAAATTAAAAGGGTATTTAAACAAAATTTTAAATAGGAAATTTGGTATCAAAAGGGAGGGTTTGAAATTAGATGAACTTAGATCAAAGGTTCACTGGAATTGGATTTGTGGTTGGAGAGATATGGGTGCCTAAAGTTTGGAATTTGAAATAACTCAAATAAAAGAAAAGGGATTACTGTACAGTGGGGCCCGCTTGTCATATGTCTCTTCTACCTCTTCTTCTTCTCTGCTTCTTTGATCCGAGAGGAGGGAGAGAAGAGGGCGAGCGGGGCGCCGGCTCTCCGGTGGCCGGGAGGTGGGAACGCCGGTAGGAGATGGTGTTCCCGAGCAACGCGCACCCGGAGAGGGTGGTGGAAGGCGGAGGAAGAGAGAGGGATGGCCGGAACGGCGGCAACAAGAGCTCAGTTCCGGCGATAAGAGAAGGTGGTGGTGGCGGCTTATCCCAAGGTGGAGGGAGAGGGGAAAGGGGGAAAATGGAATCATCTGGGCAAGGCGGAGTTGGTGGCGCAAGGGTTTGGCTTGCGAAGCTTCGGTGAGGGAGATCGGCCGACGGTAGTGATGGCCGGACATGGGAGTAGAGAGAGAAAAAGGGAAAGCTCCGTTGTGGAGAGGGAGAGGGGCGACCTCGTTTTCTATTTATAGGTCGCGGAGGTCGGTTTGGAGAGAAGGAGAGCGACTAAGGCATGGCGACGGCAGCGAAGAGAAGAGGAGCACGGCGCCGATTTCTTAGCAACTACGGAAAAGAGTTTGCGGCGGCGTGCGCCGTGCGCAACACGTGCACTGGGAGGAGGAGAGAGGCGGCTGGGCTGTGGGCCGGCTCGGCTGGGCTTCGGCTCAGTTGGGTCGGCAGCCCAAGAAGGAGGGAGGAAAAGAAAAGGGGAATGGGCCAAAAGAAAGGGAAATTGGCCCAAAATAAATAGGAAGTTTTGATAATTTTGTATAGAGGATTTTGAATGGAATTTAAAGGAGATGGAAACTAAAGGATAGATGGATGTGGATTTTTTTAATCTTAGTCAAAGAATTGAATCTAAGGAATTTTGAATGGAGGGTTAAATAAATTTTAAAGGAGATAAAATTTAAAAGAGAAACGCTTGAGGGTCTTTTGAACTTTATAAGAGGAATATAAAGTTTTTTTAAAAGCAAAAATGAGTTTAAAATATTTTTAAAATAAAATCAAATATATTTATTTTGAGATATAAATTTTGAAAAGGATAAAAATAAAGATGCTCCAATTTAAATAGAATTCAAATAAGAACCAAATGTAAAACTTGTCACGAAAGATTTAAAAATCAAACGGAAAGAAAAGGCAATAATTTAACTTCTAACTTTGGATAAATTTGGGATGGTGGCAAAAATAGATGGAGGTAAAAACTAAGATTTTAGCCTCCAAAATATGTGGTATGGATTCTCAGTGAATTATTTGTGGCTAAAGGAAGTTGGACTTTGAATAGAAGGGATTGCAAATAAGTTTCTTAGCACAAGAGCAATCATTCAAATATTTGTGATAATATTATTCTTGTGCCAAGAATGTGATCAAGTCATAGGAATCAAATTGGTGGATGGATCAAAATAGGAACTTGACCACAGAATATTTTGGATGGATTAAAAGGAGACAAAGGTTTTCGGAGATAGGTTTAGATAGGGGTTGATCCAAAATAAATTCCAATGGAAAGGGAATTATACTGGTTTAACCCTAAAGATAAAAATGGTTAATGGTATATAATAGAGAGTTGGGTCAATCGGGGAAATATTGGCCCAAGCTAAATGGTAGACTTTGTAATCTTGAATGGATAATTTAAATGAACGAGATTTCAAAGTGGTAATATTTGTGAGAGTATAGAACTGGATTTGGAAGTATATGTGGATGGGAATTTTTCTAGGAACGGAATTGGTGGTATATTGATAAACTCTAAATGATGGGTATGTTGACTCAAAGGGGGGATTGAAGAGGATATTTTTAGGGACTCTAGGAATATTTAGGTGGAGATCCAAAGGAAATGTATCAACATTTCATGTATTCTGGAGATAGTTGAGTGGAGATCAAAAAGAAAGTATTGCTTCAGGGGAAAATAATAATTGGTATTTGTGGATGTTGGAGATGTTCAGGAATGGAATCAAAGGAACTATAATCTAGAGCCAAAGTTAGAGATTAAAGAAAATAAATAGAGAGGTTTTGTAAAATTTAAAAGAGAGCGATTAACTTTGCAAATAAAGTTTTAAATCCAAGTTAAAAGAAATTAACAGAAGGTAAGATCACTTCAATAGAAGAATCGAGAAGAGTGCAACTAAAATATTTCGCAAAAAAAATTTCTCTGAAAATTTGAGTCCGTTACAACGACAAATAGAGGGACCCATAGTGAACTTATTCCCAAATCAAACGCACCTACCTTGGGCTCAAAGGCCTTAAAATGTGAGACGATGATTCATTTGGTTTGTTGCCAAAAGAGTTGGTAGCAAAACGTAACCCAAGTCTATATGCTCCCAAAAATTTGGAAAGAAAGCTAACAGGCAAACGACGTCAAATAGACAAAGAAATAAGTTCACTTTAGGCCCCTCTATTTGTCGCCCAGTCTAATTTTCGTCCCTGAACCACAAAACTAGGAACGACCCATCCCCCAACTTACGAAAACTGGGCAAACGAGGTCCCTCGGCGGTTTTGATAACGATTTTGGCTGACGTGGCGCCTACGTGGCTAATTTGGCTCGGTCTTCATCCGATGTGGCACTGATGTGGCGCTTACGTGGCAATTCGATCCGGAAAAATAATAAAACCCGTGGGACCCACATGTCAGTTTCACACACAAAATAATAAAAAATGGTGGGCCCCACATGTCATCCTCACTCCTCCCTCTTCTCTCTATCCTCTGCTCGCCGCCGGGGGAGCCTACCTCCTCTTCCTGCTCCTCTTCAAGCTCCCCTCCATCTCCATCTCCGTCTCCACTGCCTCGCCGGCGGTGGCCACCACGCACCGCCCGCGCCACCGCGAGCTCGAGGCCGCCTCCTCCATGCTCGGCTACTACTCCTCCTCCTCGCCTCTCCGCCCGCTCAAGACCGCCTTCCCTTCCTGCCGTCCCCACTCTTCGTCTCGTCCATCCGCTTGCGCCGCTGCAACTCGTCTTCCATCGATGCTTCCGCCGCCTCCGCCTTCACTGCTGTGCACCCGCTCATGCACCACCTCCTCTCCTCCTCCTCCTCCCCTTCCCCGTCATCCTCACCGTCCCCATCTCCATCCACGTCCGATTCATGCCCGTCCACGATCTCAGTGCCTACACCGCCTACATGTACTGCCGATCCTCGTGCGACTTAATCTCCCCGCGAGCAAGCGCGGGGTAGGAGGCCCCGACGAATTGAGCTCGTGCAAGAAGATGACAAAAATCAAGAACACGATGCAAGTATACATGTTTGGGCCACACGGGTGCGTAAGGCCCTACTTCTGTGTTTTGGGAGATGTGAAACGTATTAAGCGACCAACTCTAGATTAGATGCCCTTTTTCCCTTTCTAATCTTCCAACCCCTTGCTAAGGGGGTGTTTGGATACATTAGTCCTAGGACTAAAGATTAGTCTCAGGACTAAAACATTAGTCCTTTTTAGTCCTAGCCTGTTTGGTTGAAGGGACTAAATAGGACTAAAACCACATTAATTGAGCTGTCTAGTAGGTATTCATAGGTACTTTTTAATGAACATGCATTGCACAAAACATCCCCTCATGCAGCCACAGATCAACCAAGACCATCTTGCGGCATGGCAAACAGATTCACAGTAGAGATTACAAAGTACAAGAAGATTTGTTCACAATACAGAGTTAAAATTCAACACAGTTTTAGGCCATCAAGCACAGTTTGACAGCACCACCATATGCAGACATATAGCATACACAATGAAAAGTACAGTACATGAAAATGCAAATTCCCGCATACATATCAGTTATTACAAGTTATATGTTCCAAAGTCCATAAGATGAATAAAACAGGAGACTACATATTTTTTAAACTCCACAGTCCATTGGCAACCGTGTCCCGAAATTGATTCATCACTTGACTATCCAAAGAGCTGGTTGGATCATTTGATTAAGGACTTTGCTCAGACAATGGAACATAGCTTTCATCTTGGTCACACATGTCGAATTCACAGTCGGCTAGTTTACTATCTCTAATGAAATTATGCAATGCTAGGCAAGCGCATATTATCTTACTCTGTTTTTGCTGTGGATAGCTTGGTAAGTGGAACAAAATCCTCCATTTATTTTTGGGTGAATACCCAACATGATCCTTGAACTTTCGCTTAAGGATCAATTTAGTCCCTGATATTTCGTATTGTCCAAACAAGTACCTTAAGTTCATTGTGTGATTCAATATAGTCCTTAGACCCTCTAAACATGCCATGTGTACATGCCACATCATCTCTGCATGCAAATTTAATATTTAAATGTCCTTTACACCCTTATGTTTTCATAGGAAATAAAGAAAAACTATTGAGAAAACACACAAAAAAAAAGCTTTTGACCATTGGCAAAAATATGTAGCATTGATAGATAAAAAAATTGACATTTTTCTTTGTTTTATGATTGCTTTTTCTTGTTTTTCTTTTCTTTATTTGATAGAAAATTGAAGGTTAAAATGGACATTTAAATGTTATCTTGCATGCACGAATGACGTGGCATATCCACGTGGCGTTTTAAGTGGGTCTAAGGACTATATTAAGCCGTATGATAATCTTTAGGGTCTTGTTTGGACATTATAAAACATCAAGGACTAATTCGAGCCCTGAGTAAAAGTTGAAGGACTAAACTGCCTATTCACCCTTTATTTTTCAACACTCCAAAGGACCTCTCTATCACATTTCGACACGAAGAATGGCAGTAGTTAAAGTATTCCTTCCTATGTTGGGGCATTATGCCTTCGTTGTATTCCTGAAAGTGATAAGTTATTCCCTTATATGGTGCAAGATAACCCGGCCTGTTTGGGTACCCTGAGTCCACGAGATAGAACATTTCTAACAAAGCCTGTTTGGTTGAATGCCTCATTTTAGCTCTTAGGAAGAATTTTTCCTTCAAGTTCTTATATCCCCTAGTTGTCCATCCTCCTTGGGGACAATTTCCATTCCTTATTTCCTCACAGGCTACTACACACAACATAAAAGTATTTTCTTCTATCCAACAAGCCTTGTCATAAGGAGTTTTATCCTAAAGAAAAATTTATTAATACATAGATTACCATATTCTGTCCTAACAAAGCCAGAGAAAAGTATAATGCATCTAAAATATACAAGATCACAGATCCAAGTCTAAAATATACAACCATTCATATAGCATGTCAAACAGGATTGTATGTGTAACATTTCACCAGATCAATGCATGTAACAAAAGCTCATCAAAGTAAATGAAAAACCAATGAATACTCTGGTTTGGATGATTACCGTGCGTTGACCATCGTTGTCGTCTTCGTCATCGTCCTCAACGTCGTTGTCCTCCTCTTCGGCAGCTGCGGTTGGGGCAGAGGACGTCCCAGCATCCCATCCTCCTCCACCGAAGCCCCCATACCCCGTAGCACCGTGGGACATAGAGCTCCCACGGCCGCTGACACCCGCACTGTGGGACATGGAGCTCCCATGGCCCACGACACCCGCAC